GTCAATGGTCAACTTACCAAAAATGGAAAGAAAATGAAAGATGACATATTGATCATCATTTTTCTGTGCAGCTTAAACACCTGTGAGAGTTCCGAGTATTTTTAAAAAGAATTTTGAAGTATGGGCATTTCGCACTAGTGTCTATGGGAATTTTATTGCAGGGTTGTACCCTAGGTAGCATCTCCCTGCATTATGCATTACTAGTCTGGCGCCGCATGTTTCATGCACTTCACCGCTGTACTTAAGAATCTTATTTCACTTTTTGGTAAGTGGAAGACCATCTTAATATACGCATGCAGTATTCACCACTACTATACTAGAAGCAGTATATATGCACTCGCTTCTTATCCACCTGCATCTTTTGGCAGCTCACTTTCTGTACTTGAGTAATCGTGTGCGAAGTCACGCGTGCATGAGCGAGCGCAGAGTCGCAAGCACTTATTTCCACCATTTAATTTTGGACTTCACTATATTGTGCAAACCGCAGCTCGACTCTCGCGTGTATTGACATTCGAACTCTAATCTACATTCCGCATATAAAAGCAAGCTACAGCCAATGTAGCGGAAAATACACAGATTGAAAAGGTCTTCCTGTTTTATGTTTCATGCATTACTACCCTATAATTTAGAATTACCGGCCTTCGAGCTAGCCGCGTTCTCTTTATTTTTCTAGGGCCCTGCAAGTAAATTATTTTGGAGAACACTGTAAATTTGTCCGCTGTCGAAAAATCAAGAATTCAGTGATTAGATTTGATGTCTTATTGCGAGCAATGGCAGGTCTGGAAATTTGTATATTTTGTTTTAGGTCTCAAAGTTTCGCACCTTCTTGGTGAAAACATCAGATTTGTATTGCGTAGGCGTAGATTTGGAATTGAATTCAGCTTCCTTTGGTTTAAGCTTGATATCGAAGTTTATTCCAATGGTTCTTGGTATATAAAGATGCACCAAGTGACATTTTTTTGTGCAAAAGGAAAATTTGAAGCTAGCCTGAGAATTCACAGCCAGATTAAGACATCACTATTGCTAAAAAAATCAATCAATTTGTAAACATGTTTAAAGGTTAACATTAATGACGTGTCTTATACCTAAGCATCAACGTTCAATTGTATCCATTTAATTAGGTTAACATTAATTACGTCACACCTAAGCATCAATGTTCAATTGCTAAACACTATATCCATTTAAGGTTAACATTAATTACGTGTATTGTACCTAGCATCAATGTTCAATTGCTTAACACTATCCATTAATTTTATACTCTTAAGTAAACGTGTTTAGTATTTAAACGTGTTTACAAAGGGATAGCAAGAATGTTTAGAATAATGTTTAATTGTTTGACACTGTTTCCGCAGTGTGAATGTTCGAGATCTTTGCTAATTAAAAACAAATATTAATTGAAAAATCAAGACTTACCATTTCTTTTCGGGGTTGATCTTTCATCAACATCGATCACTTTTCACAGGGATGCCTATGATCCACGATAGTCTTCCTTACATTGAACTGTAGTTGCCGAAAGCAAGTTCAGTTTAAACTCTTTAGTGCCGCTTATTTTCACTAGACGCCGCAGCAACTGAGATGCAAGCTTCCCCCGCGACGGTAGGACTACGAGTGAGGTAGCCGAGCCAAAGAGGTACACGTCATCATGACGTCACAAGCACGCGCATTCACGCGACAATAATGTGCATGCTGACAAACAGTGGGGTCACGGTGCGGAAAAAAAAATACATGGCACGAGTTGAATGCAGTGTCATAGGAAATCTGGACTCTGATGAAATCTTGCCACTTCCGTACCGTATGGATCCCCTTCTGTCATATGCTCACCTATAGGCATGCGCAATACAACCAACCAGTCCTACTAACCAGATTTCACCACACTCCGGTCACTTTTTAGATTACCGAGATGTGCTTGAAAATCCAACCTCAGTTTCCGAGGTCCCATCTTCACCAGGCCTTGGCCGTCAGCTCACCGGGACAAAAGCTCCCGTTTCCCTCGCCGGCCTCCCCGGGGCTCCGCTAAATTCGAAGATGTCGCGATATAATTAGATTCACCGAGTCAATTTGGGGAGGTGTTGCCGTCCCCTAAGCGCAAATACGCAAAACACAGGCGCCCGCGGCTGCCGCTATATACAAAGTCCATTCAATTTGTCTCGAAAACGGGTCCCATATGCTGACCAGTGTTTCCATAATTGGATTTTGCAAACAGAAACTGAACGATGAGGAAAGCTGTTTCTTGTCCACTGACAGTCCTTTTTGGGCACGTACAGTCGTGGGAGTTTCCTGCACAAGAAATTACAGTGACTTATTTTCGAACAAAATGCGGTCAATGAGGACATTGGCCATCCATCATGCGTGCTAAAAAAGAGGTCGAACCCGCGTCATTTGTTGTGTTTCGTCTTCTTTTCCTGAAGGGAAAACACCATTTTTTTTTTAACAAATGGCCCGATTTTCAGGAGCTTTTAAAACCTTTCGAACAAACCGGAACGATAATTTGATTGGGGTGTTTTCCATTTCGGAAATGTGTGTGTTTGTTTCTGCATTCAATAGGGGACATTGAACAATGGAGGACTATAGGGTCCACAGTATTGGCAATCGTGTACAAAACATTCTTGAGGTCTTCCTAAAACGTTAGAGTACAAACAAAAAACGGACAATAGGGGGTCCACGATTTACTGCGAATTTATATTAAATGCACAAACAGTTGAAAACAAGACAACACCAGCCAAGTATAATAATGCTGGCCCCAAAAGCGCCAACTCATTCCATTCAAAATGGCAATCATCAGTGACGTATTCTCATTAAATGCGCGTGGCCTACACATCCATTTAGCCATTTTTTTCATTGACGTAATACACAAAGTAACAGTCGGTGAGTTTATAGTCAGACAAAGAGGCTACAAACGGGCCCCGTCTATCAAACACTGCGGCTTTCGTTTCCGTGTTAGTGACAAGCGGTCAATGTTGATCCACGATACACAAGTTAAGTCCTTCTAGTTTTTCAATAAATGTCTGCAGTATTGAAATGTCTGCTGTATTTTAATGGAAAGGCTCCCAAGACCTCATTTCGGATTCCGTACAGAACTAAAGAGGGCGCTGTGTAGCCTAACACCCACCGATCTCAAGTTTTTAAACATGGATATCAGTGCAGCAGTGGATTAGCTTTCAGGAAATGGGGGGTTGACCGGGGGTGGTGGTGAAGGCCCGCTGAAGGCATGCCAAGCTAGGGTGGTCCTGGGGCATCCAAGGTCCATCAACAAAACTCCAAGAAAATAAAACAACGCTTATCTGGAGTTACACAAACAAATTATTTTTTTATCTACTTCAAAAAGTTGCTTTATACATACATCAAGTCTGACTTAACACATCACTATAAACGGATTGTGTCATGGTAGAGTCGTAAATCTTAAGAAAATAAAAGTAAACAAAACCATAGTAAGCCGAATGTGTTAAAGCTAGAGCAAACCATTTGCGCAATTTCTTTTTGGTTTGAACCAACAAAACTGATCAAAATCTAAAGACAGACGCTTAATAACTACATGTAATCTGATGAAGTGTTAGGTCTGTGAATGCTGTGCAATTATTTCAAGAAAACAAAACAAACATATTCTGGATCTCGATTTCAATTCCAAAGTTGCCAGTCATATTTTGAATTGCGCCCTCTTGTGACACAATCCTGAAATCAGCAAACAGGGTATGATTCTCTTTCAGCCGTAACCCATTCACCCAATTGCGAACCAACTACAATGAACCAATTAGAATGCATGGATATTTCCAAATATGTGTCACTCACTCACTTGACAAATCTTTGGAAATGACCTTCTTTTGTCGTTTTCTTCAAAATGAAAGCACGCTAGAAGGAATAATGTCACAGAGAGTTTAGTGTCATTACTTTCTTTACACCAAGTATTAGTAATCTTTTTCACAATATAGTTGTGTTCCCTAACGTGGCGCACTTCGAAGCTTACCCAGCTTTCCTGGTGTAGTGTTGCCAAACCTCTTTGTGGACAAACCTGAAATTCATGCAGTAAATTACTAGTACTTTTACCTTATTAATGCTTGCTATTTAACCTCTGTGAACAATTTCGGTTTCATAAAATTTAATCCTAAATTCAAAAACGGTGGCGTCCGGAAATTGGGCACAAATTGGCGGAGTGTTCCCTAACGTGGCGCACTTGAACAAATCTCGGAAAATGCCAAATTAACATTTCATAATTTCTGTAAACTTGATAAATTCTGATAAATCATTATCATCTTTACTTACATACCCAGACAGATGTTTGTCAGAAGATTATTTTCTTATTTTTTGGGGCATTTTCAGAGGGTTCACTTTGCACTTGAAAATAAAATCGGAAAATCACGCCAAAATAAATTTTTCTTCTAACTTTGTAACGGATAAATAAACTCGCGATTTATGAACGGGAGTGTGAAATTTCAGTTAAAACTTTTGTTCTAGCTAGGCGCTACAGGCGAAAAATCAAAGTGCGCCACGTTGGGGGCCGCGCCACGTTCGGCTACATCAACAATAATTTAGTTGGTTACTTTTTGGAAAGCTGCAAATGGTCTACTCTACCTTAAAGCTATTCCACAAACGTATTACATGTATTTTTCAATAAAATCAAAAGAAAATACTTAATCACAACTTAGGTAACCGAAGCAAAAGTGAGCTCCTCTTAACAGCTTAAAAACAAACTTTATATTTTTTTTAGACACATTAAGAAAAAAGAAGAAAGAAAAAGACATCATTTAACTACACATACAGTTTCTACAAGAAAAATTATATACAAGGAAGTCACTACATTATGCAATGGGGCACATCCATGTTAGAATCGGGGAGGGATATGTTCACAATTAACAAAGAACTCAGAATTCCCCCCCCCAGAAATATCAAGGATTGAAGTACTTGTAACATTTCAAATTAAGAGTGCTTTTCAAAAAAAGGCAACTAGAACTTCTTTACAAAGAAATACGAGAAAGAATTCTCACTTATTAGATAAGTTTTTCATTTTGGTTATCCTTATCAACATTTGGTGGTTTCACTAGACATCTGACTGAATCTAACAGACACCCATGTTAGTGCGTGCATGCCGGACATCAGTCACAGCAGTCATTGGTGACGGGGCACGACTTAATTGATTGGTTTGCGCACCTGCCCAGGTTATTGAGAGCCCACAGAAAATACAGGTCTTCAGAACCCTCAATTGGAGCAATATGTACCACACAATGGCTATTCCAATTTTAATGTACTCAAAGGCATAGGATCATTTGCATTTATCGTGATTAAAAGGTTGTGCACGATTTCTTACTTCAACGAAAAGAGAAGCATCCCCTGAGCAAGGTTTTCAACATCCTTCTTTGGATATTGAGTGCTGTCAGAATTGGAAACGAACAAAATGCACGAAAAGCAAATGACCCTATATGCCTTTGAAGAAGGTTAACCACAATAACTCGCCGCGTGGAGCTTACGTGGACTCTAGAATCGCCCTGAGCGTTCACGATCCCTGGACCTGTCGTGCCCACGTCGAGGGCGCTCTCTGCTTCGGGAGCGCGATCTCCCGGCTGGCCTTTCCTTACTGCGTGAGCGTGAGCGAGAGCGGCGACCTTTCTTGCGCCGGCCGTACAGGTCGCGACGCAGCTGGCGCGAGATGGGCTTCAGATGCATGAAGTTGCAGAAGCCTCCGCGCGTGCACTCCCTGGAACGACAAGAAAATTGGATTGATTCTTAATGAAGATTCTCTTCAATTCTCAGATCACTGTGGGTGATCTGATCTGATCACTGTAGGTGATCTCTGTAGGTGATTTGATCACTGCAGGTGATCACTGTAGGTGGTCTGGGTCACTGTAGGTGATCTGATCACTGCAGGTGATCACTGTAGGTGATCTGATCACTGCAGGTGATCACTGTAGGTGATCTGATCACTGCAGGTGATCACTGTAGGTGATCTGATCACTGTAGTTGATCACTATAGGTGATCACTGTAGGTGATCTGATCACTGTAGGTGATCTGACCTCCTATGCACCAGAGTCGTAGTCAAACACAAGTTGTGGATTCCACTCTAGCCAGGCATTATAGTCGCAGTCAAACACAAGCTGTAGATTCGACTCTAGCCGGGCGTTATGGTGCGTGTGCCCCGAGGCGAGGCACTTTGTCACTCATTGCTTCTCTCCACCCAGGAGTAGATGGGTGCCTGTCAGGGCAGTGTTGGCTACTGTGAGAGGCTTATTACGGCCAAGAGTGCCGAAATGGCTGCCTTCCGGCCGTGTATGCTCCCCAGGGAGTTGAGAAGGTTTCAGGAGTGTTTGCCCGTTGAACAGGGAAAAAAATAATTGTAAAGCACTTTGATACCCCGTTGCGGCATAAAAGCGCTATGTAAATGCCTGCTATTATTACATGTATAACTATCTGAAGTCAGTTGCAAGTCAATCACAAATTTTTGGCAAGTCAGTTAAAAATCATGTAACAAATCAATTTCAAGTCAATACGTCTTAGAAGTGGTTATGCCATACGCTGCCGAGGTGCCGTGTAACCTCAGCTTTTGCAGTGATAGCGCAGTTGCCACATTTTCATCAATTTTCATCCGTCAGAAAAGAAAAATAGAGGAATCCATTCAGTTAGATTTGCTCGAAGATGAGGTGCTGTGGTCCAATGGTTACGGTGTTCGACGCGTGTCCCATGGTACATGGGTTCGAATCCTGACCGTGGGAACATGGTGCTTGTGATTTTGAGCAAGGCACTTTACCATTATCGCTTCGTTCTTCGGATTGGACGCAAAGCCGTAGGTTCTGTGTGTTGTGTAATACACGTTAAAGGATCCAGTAACACTTATCGCTAAGAGAAGGGGTTTGCCCTGGTGTTTCTGGCAGTGGCTGCAATATGCATTGCAGCACCTTGTAAATCCTTATAAAGGTGCTACATAATGGGTCTCATAGTTCTCATTAACTTGAGGGCCTCCATGGAAAGCAGTGCCTTGCACTGATCGGAGTTCACCCTCATTAAAGATGACGTAACAAAAAAACCCAAAACAACAACAACAAAAGATCATGATTCTTACCCCATCTCATACTGACGACAGCACGCCTCACGGAAGTCTGTCACAGGGGACAGCTCTGCTCTGATTGGCTGCCCATTGAACCAACGATTGTTGAGATCAGTCACGGCCGCCTCAGCGTCCTCCTCACGACGATACTGCAACGTGCACAACGGAAACAATAATAGGGGATTTATAATGTAGTTCAGAACACCTGACATGACTATTAACCATGCTCAATACACCCACAAGGCATTCTGTGGACCACCTCAGCTTCCTAGGCAGTGTGCGGCTAACCAATGCTAAATGCATGCATTTTACTCCTGGGTATTGGAAGCAATTTGTGGTCTTTCCCAACGATATACGCATGACACGCTTTAACCCTAACCACCCTGAATCCTCCAAAATCCTTTTTGCAAATTGAAAGATTTGCAGGATTGAGGTTACATGGCCAAAGTGCGTTGCTGATTTCGGAGTACGCACTGCGTCAAGGTCTTGGGCCGGACCTTGTGTTGTTTATGCTCAGCCGTGCATAAATTTAGTCCTTGATTATACTTGACATCCTCCGCACTGCTCCAGGATGTCACTGCCTCTGCCTCAGCCTATTGACAGTCATAGCCGGAGGATTTTGCAGGATTCAGGCAGTGGTCACCCCTCCATGGACCATATTCAAGAAACAATGGAGGAATTTGCAGGATTGAGGCTATATGCTATTTTTCCATGAGGCCAATTGGAGGATTTTGCAGGATTGAGGCTACATCCTAGCAAAAAGGCCTAGGGAGTTAGGGTTAAAGATCTACCACAATTATTTGGACTTTTACACCAGGACTATGCAGATATTGAATCATTTGAATTGACTCAACCCTAGCACAAAGTTCATGAAAACTCATCTTAACACAGATGTTGCTCGAACATCATATGGAATTCAAATATCCAGATATCAAATTATTCGATTTTACCCACACACAGCCCTTATATGAAGTTGAAGACAACTACATAGACATTGCTTTAACATCCAAATATCAGCATATTCAATCACATGGAGTTTGAACATCCGAATTTGAATTATTTTAACAGACTCATCCCTGAAATGAAGTTGAGGATTAGGCCTACTTTGAAAGCAAAAACAGACTTTTGATCACACGAATTTCAAATATCCAGATATTGAATTATTCAAATTAACACAGCCCTGATGTAAATTGAAATCAACTCATCTTAAAGCCATTGCTTTAACAATGGATATCCAAATATTTGATCACATGGGATTCAAATATCTGGTAATGAATTACTCAAATGAACACAACACTAACGTAAAATTGAAGACAACTCACCTTAACAAAGCCATTGCTTAACAAAGAATATCTGAATATTCGATCATATAGAAATAAAACATCTGGGTATCAAATTGTTTGAATTAACACAGCCCTAATGTAAGGTTGAAGACATCTCCCCCAATGCAGCCATTTCTCTAACAGCAAATATCCAAATATTTGATAACATGGAATGTAATATCCGGGTATTGAATTATTCAAATTGACAAAGCCTCAACATAAAATTGAAGACAACTCATCAATAACAAAGCCATTGCTTTAACAACGAATATCCAAATATTTGATCACATGAGATTAAAATATCCCAGTAACGAATTATTTGAATTCACACAGCCCTAAAGTAAAATTGAAGACAACTCACTTTGACGTAGACGTTGCCTACCAGATGGTCGCCCAGGTTATCACAAACGTTCATTTCCTCTATCTCCCCGTACTTCTCTTCCAACTCCGTGAAGACTTCTTCAAAGAAGTCGTCAAAATGCTGCTGCATCTCCACATCCGAAATGTTGGTAACTGGAAAAACATTACGAAATGAAAATAATAAAATATCAAAAGAGGGTTAACAGTCCTTCTGATTTGAGGCGTGCGATCACACCCCCACACCATCGCACACCTAAAAGCTTCCCGAGAAGTGTGATTAATTGCACGCCTGAATTTCCCTGGACCACAGATCACACACCTAGAAAACCACACACCTAGAAAAATCCAGGTGTGCCTTTTTCCACACACCTGTGATTTTCTAATCAGCAGGACTGGGTTAACACGTTACCCTTTAGTCTCTTTAAAATCTGCCAAGACCTGGACTCCTAGTGCTAAAAAACATGCAAAATGAAATCAGGTCAACTTAACTCAGTCTTTGGCCGACTAAATCTCCAAAATCATTCATGAGGCCCTCAGTATTTCACCAGCCAAGATTGAAGTCTCCATCAATTTTTAAAGGAGACCTTTTTGCAATATTTTGCACATGAGAGGGAAGTCAGGTGATATCAACTTTGAGGCTAACTACTAGCCTGGTACATGTCCAACCATGGTCCAACTGTTTGAAAAGGCCGACCTCTTCATTCATTGTCATAAGTCTGGTAGCAACTATAGAGAAATGTGTAGAAATAGTAGTACTGGCACTTATGGGTTTACATGCAGTACTTCGCCTTAATTTTTTCCTTCAAGATCTCGTCTGGGGTCAAGGCCTTGTTGTAAACTGGAGACGCGATCACCTGCCGCTATCAACCGCGAACCACTATCACAACACTGTCTTGGGAATCTTGTAACATCTCCCCCTGAAAAATGGGGGAAAGTAGTGTGCATGCCCTACTTCTGCAAGCAAATTACGGTTTTGATTTTCGGTTGCACGCATGCTACATACAACAAAGGTGTAGCCAAGAAGTTGCACAAATGACAAAACTCTGGTAACATCTTGTATGCAAGTGGCTGAAATTTCAGAGTTTGGTTCGGAGCTCAAATGCAAGATGCCGAATGTGCACTGCCGCTGCATAGATCAGGCGAAACAGTTGTGTGCGCATGCAAGAGAAGAGGAGCGAGTAGAAGTGGGACACCTGTACATTTTGATAACGCCTTCTTTAAGCGGGTGATCGCATATCCAATTTACAACAACGTCTTCACCTACCTAACCTTCCCAAATCCTCATAAATACTCTTTGCATAAGTGGAGGATTTCAAAGGATTGAGGCTGCACGGCAAAAGTTTGCAGTTGATTTTGGAGGATGCATTATGCCCTGGATTTAGTCTGTACCTTGTGTTGTTTGTGCTTTGCCGTGCATAAATTAAGGCCTAGAATACACTTGAAATCATCCGCACTGCTCATGGATAACATCTGCACTGCCTCAACATACATGTATATACATTGAGAAACAGTGATCGTTGGAGCATTTTGAAGGATTGAGGCAATGGTCACCCCTCCACCACTCAAATTCAAGAAATAACAGAGGATTTTGGAGGATTGAGGCTGTATCCAATTTTTACATAGAGGAAGTTGGACGTCTTTGAAGGATTGAGGCTGCATCCAAGCGAAAGGCATAAGGGGTTTAGGGTTATGATGGATTTTAATGGATAAGAGAGTTAGGAATAAAGTTATTTTCTTACTGTGTCCTCCGTCTGCACTCTGCGCAGTGTTCTGTGGGTTTTGGTAGATGTTGGACAGAACAATCGTCTGACTGAACGTTGGCTTGTTATGAAGTCTTGAACAACGGTCGCCATGACGACAGGCTCCAATCTTGAAGTAGAAGGAACAGTTGACCCTTAAAAAAAAAGGTTAAGAGACATTTGTTAGTTGTTACCACCGTCCACAAAATATCTTGATAACTTGAATGCCTTAGCCCTAATGCTGCATAATGTACTGTTGCGCGATGCAAAGCATACAACCCTCCTTGGCTCCATCCCAAAAGGTTGAGCCGAATGTAGAGTTGACCTGGCGAGGTCACACGAAGATCTTGGTTCGATCGGCCATGTCATCACGCTTGCGCAGTTGCAGTACCGTAACGATAGAAAATGGAAAATGCGTTACGGCTGCCATAACGATAGCCACTGCGTAGTTTTTTTAGGCGCACCAAATTTAGAAATCTGTTGATTCCTAAATAATTTCACTGCAACATGTGCACAGCCACAGGGCATGCAGAGTGACGAGTGATGACCAGATATAGTAATATATCAAAGTCACTTCGCCTGTTCAGTGCTTAGCCGGCGAAGTATCGTCTACTTAAATTTGACCGGCGCCGGCTAAATATACTCTGATGATGATGTAGGCCTACACTACAGTACACACTCATCCGATTCCGACAAGTCGTCCGACATGTCCGAGTATAGTCGTGTTCCCTAACGTGGCGCACTTCGAAGCTTACCCGACTTTCCTCGTGTAGTGTTGCCAAACCTCTTTGTTGATAAACCTCAAATTCATGCAATGAAATACTTGTACTTTTACCTTATCAATGCTTGCTATTTAACCTCTGTGAACAATTTCAGTTTCATAAAATTTAATCCGAAATTCAAAAACGGTGGTGTCCGGAATTGGGCACAAATTGGCGGAGTGTTCCCTAACGTGGCGCACTTGAATAAATCTTGGAAAATTCCAAATTAACACTTACGAATTCCTGTAAACTTGATAAATTCTGATAAATAATTAATATCTTTACTGCACTTGAAAATAAAATCGGAAAATCACGCCAAAATAGCTTTTCCTTCTAACTTTGTTACGGGTAAATAAACTCGCGATTTATGAACAGGACCGTTTAGCACTTGATGAAATTTCACTTTCTGTGAAATTTCAGTTTAAAATTTTGCTCTAGCTAGGCGCTACCGGCGAAAAATCCAAGTGCGCCACGTTAGGGGCCGCGCCACGTTAGGGTACATCAACAATAGTCGAGTAGCCTAATCACGCAAAATATATGAAAGGTTCTGACAAACTTACGATATATAAATGAACAAAAAGCTAAAGTAAATAAATGCCAAGTCTATCAAAGAAACTACAAAATGTAAATATAATGATTAACAGTCGGAAAATGGTAGACTTACTTGTCTTTTTCCGTTCCAAAAATCGACGCAAGATATTCCGCCATCTTGATTCTTCACACGCGCAGGCGTCTGCATAGACTGGCTTCACTGTCCTGTATTCTTTGCTAAATTATTACAGGAGATTTTGAAACCTCGGCTTATTTTTCAGCTTCAGCTTCATATCTGGCTTGGGAATAATTAAGAATCCCTTTTAATAACATACCATTAAAAACACTTCAAAACTATGTTTCGGATATACAAATACTTAATTACATCGCAAAATGGCTTTTTTTTGCTTTTATGTATTAGACTTTTAGTTTTAGGCACTCCGGCACAGAATGTACCGCAATAAAACCGTAATTTGTTAAACGGCCTTTGCTCAACAAATAGATAAACGGACATGCATCCAGTTTATGAGGAAGAACTTAGTCTCGTTCAGGATTACAACATTTTTGATATTTATAATGAGATACTATTTCGTACTTTGAAGACATTGCAAATGTATAATAATATTAAAAAAAGACGAAATAGTAATATGTATAACTACAATACGTACAAATATTTTCGACATTTTTACTACTCCTAATTAATTTTTATAATGTGATGAAACGATTTATTATTAACTTCCGGGGTACCGCTGTGTGTCAGACTTTGGTCAGACCTACGCTGACGTACGAGTAATACTAGTTTCTTTTCCTCCAGATTCTGCATAAAACTGGTTTGTCGTCAGATTATATTCAGTATTTAAAAGCAGGTTACAAGCGCATGATCAAAGCTTGTCATTGAAAGGATTTATTGGTGTTATTTACAAAGTTAAACTTAAAGGCGATAAGTAGGGACCGGTCCAATCGCAAGCAAAATATAAAAAGCTCTTTGTGTTTCGACTGAGGGCGCTATTGCTTCCATTTTTCTTGGTATCATCAGCTCCATGGTATCATCATAGCTCCAATCATGTTTATTGAAACAGTTTACGGGGTACTTTTTAGTCTATCCTGTCCTCCATGCTTTACTCAAACTAATTTTTTTTTTAACGATTATAAAAAATGGTAAAAATTAACTTTAATAAAAGACTAGGCCTATAGTGTAAAGTTATGCCTAACTAGCGATACAGCCAATACTTAACTTAGCCTATGTAAACCTACACAGCTACATCAATAATCATGGTAATCTTGGATTAATGTCTAAACTTAAGTCGAGAAACAAAAAAAATCCCCCCCCCCCAAGATCATGAAGATGGTAGTGTACATTTTTAAATTTGCAGATATAGCAGGCGGGGACGACAAACTTATTTATTTTTGGTGCTTGGCCATAGTCATGCTCATTAGTTAAGTCACAAATGCAGGTGGGATTAGGCCAGTTTAAAGGCCAGCTAATCAAATAAAAAAATGTAGCCGAATAACTGACACTTCGATTAATTGTGTTACTGAATAATAACACTTGCGGCCCTACTGCCATTGGTTACCAATCTCGCTCGACCCTCACTGACCCTGACTGACTGTCACTTGTAGTTGTACGAGATCAGCTTTGTAAGGCTTGCCTATTCGTGTATATGTGTGTATGTTTTGTAGAATCTACACCACGTTTGTTAGTCTGAGCCAATGGACCGATCCAGTAAGCACCGCCCCATGGTGTTCTGACCAATCACAGCCGTGATTTATGTCCGACGTGCGTGCTTGGAAAGATTTCCATATAAGAAGTTCACTCAACACCCTGTGTACAAACCCTATGAGAGTGGACTGAACAATTCTAAGTGTTTTCTAAGAAAATGCTTGTATTTTCTCACTGCTCAAATTGACTTTGATGACATAAAATTGCTATCAGGGGGCTTGTTAGTCAATTCAGAGGAAAATTAGTGAACTTCTTATATGGAAAGCTTTCCGCGTGCACTGTAGCCCGACATGCGTGCACGTGCGTATGATGCGCGCAGAAGGAAAATGCAGCATGGCATTGGAGCGGAACACTTGTGAATTTGCCCACGTGCGCACTGGGCGGAGCTTACTGGATCGGTCCATTGAATCAGGGAGCAATTTTACAGTTTTGCTAAGCTTAATTTGACTCATCTTTTAGTTTTGACAGATTTCACAAGTGACTTTTACAAACCACAGAAGAGATCATGAATCTGGAGAGAGTTTCCGACACAGACAAATTGGAGTTATGCCGTAAATATTATGTTGGTGAGTGAGTGCATACCATTTTTAAATGTATACATGTACATGTATGCGCCAAATAATTTTGATACAACAAACATTTTCGCTAGGCCTGCTGAGTTTACATAAATAAAGGTTGACTGTACATTTATGTTTATTAGAAATACACAGGCTCTGTTTAAAGAGGTTGTGGAATGCTCGAAAACATTTCCGTCATTTTTTGGGTATATGTAGCCTAAGGTGTGATGAAATAAAAACGACTATTGTTTCCGTCATAAAATGAGTACAAAAGGTACTTTTGAGAGCTGTCCTGTCCTGTCATGCCTGTTTCGACCCGAACGTGCAATTTGTGTAAAAGTCGTCGTTGCGGGCAGCAAACAAAACACAGTAAATCGTGACGTAATAAACAGGACTCCCGATGCAGAGTAGCATAAACGAGTCCTGTTTATTACGTCGCGATTTACTGTGTTTTGTTTGCTGCCCGCAACGACGACTTTTACACAAATTGCACGTTCGGGTCGAAACAGGACCTGAAAAACAGCTCTCAAAAGTACCCTTTGTACTCATTTCATGACAGAAACAATAGTCGTTTTTATTTCATCACACCTTAGGCTACATATACCCGAAAAATGACGGAAATGTTTTCGAGCATTCCACAACCTCTTTAATGTATTTTTGGTATACATGTAGCTGATGGAGACACTCTACAATATTTCATCTTAAAGTTCAGACTGTACTTTGATTTTCAAGTTTGTTTTTACTTCTTAAGACTACAACTCTACCTTGCTACAACTATGAAAGATATTAAAGAAATGTCTTACCGAGTATCTTTCCTTGCACTCTGATATATGTAGTCTGAGCAGCAACCGTTATTTGTTGGAGCCCGCAGGTCCAAAAACATCTGATAAATCCATGCACGCAAAATTTATGCAACACTGTGCGCTAGCCAATCAGAGTTGACTTAAGAAATTGTGACGTTATTTGGTGTAAGCTGTTAATTGGTCAATTTGCTGCCATGTATTTGTAATACAACAAGGGGTTACCCAGGAACCGATAGAAAGCACCCGCTGAATGGTCAGAATCTGGAGGCCAAGATGCAGTCTTGTTTTGAATAATTTATAATGCTTAATACCAAAGAGCTTAAAGCACTTCACAATTATTAACCCTGTTCATCAGGCCATGAGACCAGTAGTTGCAGGCTTGCAGCTCAGCTCGAGATCAGCGCAATCTGGTCTCTACCTTCACAGGTACCCATTCATACTCCTGGGTGGAGAGAGGCAATTGTGGTGAAGTGTCTTGCCGAAGAACACAAGCACCATGTTCCCTGTCAGGGGTTGAACCCACATACATTTTTTTTTGGTGGTACCACATAGTCTACATTGTAAAGCCGCTTGCTGTGCAAGAATCTCTTCCAGAGACTAACACTCTGTTGGGGGGGGGGGGGGGGGGGGGGGGGACTAACACTCTGTGGGATGGGGCGCATAATCCCCTTTAGTGATTTACTAGGAACATTCCTCACTCATGCAAAATCAAAGACCATATGGTAAACTCATATGCCTGACCCATGTAAAGCATAACCAGTTTACCAGTACTCACTCCAACAGATTCCAACAAAACGTACCGTTGGGTTTTGAAGGGTTGGGGATGGTGAGGGTTTACAGTATACATGTACATGTACTTACCTTGTCTGTTATGATATTCCCATCAGGCGGCTTCTTTTTCCTGCCGTTCCTCTGGTTCATCAACTTCATTTGGTTCTTCAGAGAAGCCTTCATCAGACCTCCCTTTGATGAACAAAAGCAGATGAAGAAATGTAAGTATTGAAGTAAAGCAAATCAAAGTCGGCCACGAGCCAATATACATGTAGCCCATCAGGTTGGCATTTATCTCTGGTTTCCTTTTCATGAAATGAATGAGAATAAATGGGATGCCAGAACCTTGCAGGTTACTCCCCAGCTAAATGCAAGTTACCCTTTGTATTCCTGGGTGGGGAGACGCAGGTGGGAGTAGAGTGGCTTGCCCAAGGACACAACATATGTCCAGCAGTTGGATTCAAACCCTTGACCCTCTGATCAGGAGTCACAAACACCACTAGTCAACGCTCCACAAGTTTAAACAGTATTAAAGTAATCCAACAAAAATATCACGTTTTGTAATATAAGGTGAAACTAAGCTGACCTATGTAACTTTATAAGCACACTATACTCAGTTAATCCAAGAGCTTGTCCTAAGAAAATCATAAACTTGCTTGGTTGGACTCGAACCACCAACCAACTAGTGCAGACTTCTTGACTACCTGACAACTGAGCTTGCAAAAGTCAGGGCTGATATGAATCTGTTCTAAGCAGCTATTGCAACCGGTGACAAGAACACAGTGTGAATACAAATCCGAGCAACAATCCCTGTGCGACTGTTTCGACCGTTGCTACTAATCTTTGGCAGTTGATGGACTTTACCACTCGAGTCTATGCCGAATTAGGAATATAGTTTTCTGGTAGAATTCTGTATAAATTTGAATTCAGAAGTTGTAAGTCTCAATATTTGGTTTTTGCCCTTCACAACCATAACTTTATAAGCACTGTCCCAGACTTGGAGACAAAAGGTAACAAGCTGATTTAGGTGAGACTTGAAACCAGGACCTTTTGCGTTCTAGTGCACATGTCTCAACCACCACTTTATACACGTGTGACCAGAATAACTTCAAATTCTGTTGTTTTTGTCCCACTTAGATCTCATCAAGTCGTGCATAGGGTCGGTCCTATGGACGGCAGCCCTTGTGACCTGGATCACGTTATTCCAGCTGAATCGAGCCGGATGGGGCCCCACGGCCGACGCGATTTCCTTCATTATCCCCAAAGGAATCCCTTGACCGCTTAATTATTTAACTGTTCAACCTTTAGTTACGAGCAGAATCAACTGTCTATAGAGGGAATATATAACATTTGCTTTTGCTGTCATTTTCAGAAATGGTTGGGTTTGTGTGTGTGTGTGTGTGTGGGGGGGGGGGGGTTATATTTCATGGCAAATATTGTTACACTGACTTGTTTGAAGGTTTGTGTTCATAGATGCTGGAAAAACCAAGAAAAACAATCGTGTTCTTGTAGACTGGTTTGCTGACCTCACAAAGAAACAGAACAATTTATAGATGTCGGGGAATTGTCGGTCAGGGAACCAGTCTAGCTGGTTTGTACCCGTTCAAAGGTGTGTTATCGATTGCAAACAAAATGCGGACTAACTAAATATGGTAAATTGGGGACACTACATGTATTTGAAAAAAAAAGCTGACCAGCGTTGGAAATTGATACAAAATACCGCTTTTGAAAATATCAGCACACCAGGTGTGATGATTTTACAGGTTGCTTTAGACTGTCATTTACAAACAGTCCAGTAAAGCACTTATAATAATTGTTGTTTTGATATTTGCAAATGTTGTATATTCCTTTTTGGGGTCTTTCTCAATACATATCGGGAAAGGAAAAGTGTCACATTTTGGACACTAAAGTTAAAGAATGACCCGTTTTCTAGTGTACCAGGAAATGGCAGTTTGACAATATAAAAAGACAACATAGCCCATCCACATCTATCCCCTTTAATTATCTGTTTACTGAAAATGTACCAACAAAAATATCCTACATGTAAAAGTAATTCACAATATACATACGTGTAAATACACTTTAACAATGGCAAAAAAGAAGAAGATAATGCACGATATTTACAGGAAAACCAACTACAAGTAGTGGGCAGTCGTGTTGGTCAGGCAGCAACACATGGAACATGGAATATGGTAGCACTGAAGTGTAAAGTACATGTACAAGTACAACACTTGCTTTTGTTGCAATTTAAAGTTTTGTGTTACACAGGGGTGTGAAATCTCAGCTTTAAAGCTGATTTCAGCTTTTTTTGTTTTGGATGTCAGCTTTTTTCCCTCACTTGCTGTTTACAAAAGTATAGGAGATTTCCAAAGTTCAGCTTTTGTTTACACGTTTTTCAGCTGTTTTCAGCTATTTTTATCGGTGGTCTCTCACACCCCTGGTTACACTGAACTTCATAGATATTAAAAAATTTGAGGCTCTGCATGGTGGAGATACTAAGTAATGAAAGTTTTGCGGAAACACCATGTGCGAATAATTTCTCAACTAAGAGAATGGTTTTGAAAAGAACCAGAGGTATAAACTCGACGTTAAACTCTCCTGAAGACGGTCAGAGCATACTGACTGGAACGTCGAGTTTATACCTCTGGTTCTTTTCAGAACCATTCTCTTAGTTGAGAAATTATTCGCACATGGTGTTTCCGCAAACCTTTCATTATTCATAGATATTGGAAAAACCAAGAAATAGTGCTGTTCTTGTTGTCAGGTTCCCTAATCCTTCGTCTATCGAACAGAGCAATTTATAGATGTCAGGTCAGGGAATCAGACTAGCTGGATTTCACCTGTTCATGCGTGTGTAACCGATTGCAAACAAAATGTGGACTAACTAAATTTGGTAAATTGTAGGCAAAAAAAGTTAGCTTTTTTCCCCAAATATGGTGAAAATGACAGCACACTATGTGTCGTGATTGCACAGGATGCATGATTCAGTGTACTATTATTTACTTTCAGTCATCAATTAAGGTACAGTCGACTCTCGTTAGTACAAACTCTGTTCATACAAAATTCTGGTTATAACAAACAAAAAGCCTTGGTCCCGACTGTGCATTTATATGCACAATGAATGGGACTGATGTTCCTCTTAATACAAAATTCTGATATAACAAACAATTTGGCTAGGTCCGAACGAGTTTGTTATAACATGATTTCATAATATTTTGGTGGTTTTGTTTGTGTTGTTTGCAAATGTTGTGTATTACCTTTAAAGTGGCCAAGAATAATACAAGTTTGCATCAACTTTCTTAGCTACAACTACTTCATCAGATTCAAAAATAAATCAATGAAATTGCTACAAACTGCTTACTGATTGGATTGACCTGAAAGGTATGCTTCGATCCTGTCGGGACTTTTGTCAAAGATCATGCCAGGATAAAAACGTTAGGCCAGCTTGTTGATAAGAAATATTAACAGGTACACCCTTTATGATTTTACACAGTGAGTTGTTCAACTAGTCTTTAAAATTCAAACAAATACATAGTATATGCAGCAAGGCTGTGATATCGTTTGTTTAGGTAGAACTCGCGTCCATCACATTTCAAATCACAAAGTCAAGTACATGTAAACAAGTAACGCAGGAAGGACACGCTCCATTGTCACAGATCATTTGAATAACTTGTGACTTAGCACTACATTGCTTGTAATTGTCTTGTGATTGACCTGTGATGACTGGAGTTCGACGTGGTTCACGACCGCCATTGCTTGAAAAACGTTAATGTTTTCCCCCAAAACTCTGCAAATTTAGTTTCCATAAAAACCGCTGTTTAAGTAGATGAATTTAACTCTATTTCATCTACACTTTTGCATACTCAAGTTTTGTAAATAGACATTTGTAAACCGAAAATTCTTATGTAATAAGGATTTCTAATGTAACATTTGATAAATATTGTAAACTTTGATGGACACATTAATTAAAGGGGCCATGCAATGTAATTTTTTATTAATACAATACAATCCTTGAATATGCACCTTTGTTTTGCCATTTTGAAAAGTATTTTGGTGCCTTTTTCAAATTTTAGTTTTATGCTAATACGAATTGTCATATTCATGAGCAAAACTGTGATGTTATTCCAGGCAGAAGCCTCAATGTCTAATAGCTATTTCAGCACGAAAAGTTGCTAGAATTTTGGATATTTTGCTGTCGTAAATGTTCTTTTCTTTGGTGATTCTTTGTTGTGCAAGTAGTACATGACAGTAAGCCAGGCAGCAAGCCTGTCTCACAAATGTGTTCATTGAGCAAATTTTTGGTTCACAATCTTTTGAACAGAAAACCCCTGAACTGAACAGTGTCTTCCTGAAATGACATCACATCAACAGCGCCCTCAGTTGTAAGGAAAGCATGGGAAGTTTTAAATGTTCAAATTTAATGAAATTTAACCAAAAGAGATGTCAGATGGTTTTCATACATTTAAGAGGGGTAGAAAATTGTACAAAATGTGTACCTCATGAAAACTCACTGCATGCCCTTCAAGCTTTTATTGTTATAATGTACCAATTAAACCAATTAAAACAATTTCAAAATACATGTACATGTACATGAACATACTGTGCCAAAGAATTTGTTATGCATGGGTCATTCTGTGTCAATTCAACACGATTTTTCAACCGACCCTCACATACCGAAACGATATTTGGTGTGATAATTGGCCTAAATGAGAAACATCCAGTACTGATTTTTAAAATTTAATTTGGCCCGTTAGTTTTTGAAATACGGGTCAACGAACTTTTGACAAGTCGGCATGACCTCCAAACTTTAAATACTTGTTTATCTCCAAAACTATAGTGCCTACAAAGCCAAGTTGTACATCATATTAAAGCTCTTTGAATGGCCTCCATTTTATGAAATAAAACCAAAATCGTAGCATGAAGCGCAGAAAAATGAACATCTACTGGGGGACACCCCCCCCCCCCCCACCACCCACAAAATCGTCACCGTTTTGACGAAGTGACGCATCCGTCCAAAACCGAGATTTTCTGCAATATTTTTGGATATTCTAACATGTTATGATGTCCTCTACATAATTACTAAATTTCGAGACGCAACATTCCATCGTTCGTTATTTACGCTAATTGAACAAAATGTTGAAAGTGCTACACACTAAGTTTTTCGTTTTGACGAAGTGACCAATCTCTATGTGTCACTTAGTCGCATTGAGTTTACACGTGTGCTATATTTAGAAATATGAAGCCTTCACGATTTGCGTTTTGATGAAGTGACGCATCTGCGTTCTAATTAATATGTATACATTTTATATACGCGCATGCGCTGTGTACAACCATATTTTTCTTAAGAAGTAGATATTCCGTTTTGACGATGTGAGGGATATCTTTAATAATCAATATATTAAACATGATTTTATGAACAGTACATGGATGGAGCGTCACGCCCTTGATAACGCACGATATACGGACATCGCTTTGTGCATATTGGTGTGCACAACGTAAGTTCTAAATTATCCACCTATAAATACGTTTTACACTACTAATTAAAAGCAAGGTATTATCTCCTTTGAGGGTAAGTTTTGATAGCTTTCGTGTGCAAACGTTATCGGACCCACGACACTGCATTAATCGCGATCAAGCGCGGTGCGGCGACCCCCACTCTATCCCGCAATGCACTGCGGTAAACATTGTGTGACGACATCAGTACGTAAGGTGAACTCATGGGTTTTCCCCCGATCGCTATTTCGAAACACTCCGATTTGTCACAGCGCCATTTTGTTTTGTACGTGTGGATCGAGCGGAGCATGTCTGAACTTTTCGTTGAGAGAGCAACATCTTTCGGCTGTAAGTTACAGTAAATATTAAAATATATATATGATATTGGTTTCTGGAAGTGTGAAGGCATTTTATGAGGGTGTGGAAGCAGACACAATTCCACCGACAAAGCGTACACAAAATAGGGGTCGTTCCATGAAGTTGCAACATGTCCAAATTTAGCTTGTTGATTATGGAACACAGTGCTTTCTCAGTCGAGTTTGGCAATAATGCTAACAAATATTTTGCTAGGATTTCGTAAAGTATCTCTCTTGCACCATATTAAAACGGAGCAATGTGTCGATTAGCGACATAATAATTAATATGAATGAAATTAAGGTAACAGTTAATATCATGTCGATATAATTATAATAAATAATAGGAGGGGAGTTGTGTGGAGTAGGGGGGGGGGCGAATTTACGTGGGGTAGGAGGAGGATGTGGCATTTGTGTGGTGGATGATGGAGTTGTGTAGAGGAAGCTTGGGGAGGAAATTGTGTGGAGCATCTGGGGGGGGGGGGGGCGGGGGCTTAATATGGAGGAGGGGGAGGGAGTTGTGTGGATGCAAGGGGAGGAGGATAGCTTTGGCGAAGGATGGAGTTGTGTGGAGGGTTATAGGGAGTTATGTGGATGGATGAATGTGAAGGAAAAGGGATTTCTTTATGTAAAATCGCCCTGAGCGTTGCTATAAAAGCCACTCTATGACAAAGGGCTGGAAAGAAGAAAAATTGTGTGGAGCAGAAGGAAGAGGGGGATATGGAGTATAGTGGACTGGTCTGATTACCAATACCAGACCTATTCGGACTATACCGCTGACAAAATGCTCGGTTAGGCTAGTGGGATTGTCATGGCCCATATGCATTTTTGGGTACAGTCGTTTAAAGTCTTAGAATCACCAATGAAAACAAGTTGATGCCAATCTTTTTCTGACTCTTTAGGAGCGGAGCCATGGGATTAGCACGCGGAGGGGAGGGGCATTGTGTGAAATAAAAGAGACCCCAGAATGGTTCTCTTTTGGGGATATGGCCATTTTTATAATTGGGGGGGGGGGGGAATGCGAACAAAATCTAGCTCTAATAGGTAATCTAAGTGCAGCATGTTGCATCAAAAATATGAGAACGTGGGTAGGTCTTTTGTATTTGAAATTAACATGCATTCTTCCCCTTTCCCGCTTCAGAGTTTGTTCTTAAAAGGGGGCACATCTGGCATATAAACAAAAGACAAACAATGTAACTAAAATCTTGATTTTGAACACATGAAAGTTACGAACATGCACCGCTCATTAATGTTGCTGGGACATTTTAGCTGGTATGATCTTAGTCGTAAGAACAACAGTAGGGGAAAAGGGATTTCACATCAACAAATTTTGTCGTTTTCTTGTCTAAAATCGGCGAGTTAAAGGTTTATAAAACAACAGGCCCTACCTCTATAAATTTAAAATGTTCATTTGACAACTGAAATTTCGCACGTGATTGCTACATCAAATCTACTTACTCATTTACTGTTTTCTCCCTTCCCTTCGATATTTTTTAACGTTTTCAATCCACCTTGAAGTATTTATGCGCTGGATTCGCATCAAGGAATGGACATTGCAGTTCTGTTTTATAATTTTATTAAAAAAAAAAAACCCGAATTTTATGCGCTTCTTATCATCCCTTGTTTTTTTGTTAAAAAAACAACAACAGTACTTCCTCTTGCATTGAAGCGAAATATACTTTGGAATTTCGCTTTTTAATTTACCGCTTAGAGTGCTGAAGCCGATTTAGAAAGAAATTGACAAGAGTTTGGATTGATGGCGTTGTGTGTTAGTAAAATATTTTGAGTTGCTGCTGTTAAAATAAAATCATAGGGCAAAAGACTAAGGTTTTGTTTCAGATCCATGCAACTGGAAGGATTAATATGCATTGTTTAGAAAAAGCGCCCCCATTTTGTGTGGTTTCCATTTTCATTGTTTTTGAAAAAATCAACAGAAAGTCAAACACTTTTCTTTGAAACAATACAAAACTGTGCCCCCACTTATGCTACTCCAGAGTAACATTGCATTCAATTTCCGAGGAAGCGCGCCACCAGGGGTAAACGTTCAGGCGCTATCGTGGGCTGTGACTCATGGGTTTTCCCCGACTGTTGTTTCTAAATACTAGCATTTCCCACCTCATTCACAGGGTGTCGAGCAGTATGCTCACACCACTACCTGCTCTCTCACCCTGGTCAAGGATCATTTGCGCATCCTAATTTTTTTATTCTGGTTCCCTGTGCTTTACAGTTTGTTTTTATGTGGTGTCTGGGGTTGAACGGCATATTATACTTAAGGTTTGTAACTTTATTAAGATTAAGAGAAACCCATGCAGTACAAAACCATTGATCTTTGAGTGTTTCTTTTTTATTATAGGTTTTCCCGGCCAATTTCCTAAAATGTTCATTCACTTCTGGAAATCGGTCATTCGTTTTCGTCCGAATTTGAATGCACATCTTTAATCCCATTTCAATCGTTTTCACTGTCCGTGCATTCGGTGTTGAGAAACAGACGGCCAATTACGTTACCTGGGCATTCATTTATTCAAGCATGCCTTTTCTAAATTGACTTCAGGTACAGCTAATTTGATTCACGGTTAATGAAAAAGAAACCCCTAACTGTATCTGGTGACGGTGGCATTAAAGTAAAAGTGAAATAGAACGGTGAATGTTTGAAATCGCCTTCTAAAAAGCGAAAAAGAAGCCTTGTAAACGAATTTGAAGGTGCTGCTCAATCACCTAATTGCAATTGACCTAAAATGGAATCGAACGCTCTGGTAGCGATCGAAAATGAAACGCGTGTTCAGAGCGATTAACAAATTCAGACGAAAAGAATGACCGATTTTTAGAAGTGAATGAACATTTTAGGAAATTGGCCGGGAAAACATATATACTTTTGAAGATATAAGTTAAAGTGTCCATAATTCATGGAATAACCCATGGGCCAATAAAATAAATCCTCTTTCGCAATCTCAAAACACAGGAATAGCATTTTAAAAAGCATATCCGAATACAAGTTTGTCAACAGAATTACTGCAAACACGTGGAAGGGGGGGGGGGGGCGGGACTGAAAGGGGATATTGCCGCCTGTTTTGCGAATTTAAACGAAACAGCCCAAACCACAATAAACATTACGTTTACGACCGACTTTACAGGGAAATATTACCTTTTTGACATGAAAGTAGTAGAAATAAACTGTATACACGTCCACTCGTTCTATAAATGGTTGCAGATATAAAAATGATAAAAAGTGACACTGTCAGCTTGTTTTCTCCAGCAATCTGATTTGTTTTGTCCGGAAGAAAAAACGGCAATTCAACTAGAGGTCTATGTCTGTGTGAAAAAGTACTGCAATATTCAACTAGAGGTCTATGTATATGAGCAAAAATACAATTTTAACATCAAAGAAGTAGAAATGAACCTTTGTATACGCGACCAATAGTTGTAGAAATGTTTGTAGATATAAGAAAGATAAAAAGTTACACTGTCAGCTTGTTTTCTCCAGCAATCTTAACTTATTATAGAAAGGAAAACGACAATTTTGTACATGTATTTAAAATATGCCTAATTTAGATATGCTTCGTTATTTTTGGCATGTCGGACATGCCTGTTTGTCGGTGTGCCTGTCTATCATTTGGTCGGTTGGTCAGAGAGTTTTCAGGAGATGTTTTATGTTAATAGCAGAAAATATAATGTTTACAACTTGTTTATTGTTTGTTTTATTTTGTTCAACAGAAATGGAGGACACACCCCAACGCTCAAGGGGGCTGGCTTCCGCCACACGAAGAGTAAAGTAGCCAGTTCGGTTGGGAAGCCATCCAAATCAGGTAATGATTTACATATGACAACATTTTTTAAGTTTACAAAGAAAAATAGTAACGAAAGAAATGATCAAGAAACGGAAGCTCTCTGTGGTCTATGCTTGCATGACCCTTTAGTTTTTAAGCCCTTTGTAGGACTTTTTATATAAAGTCGCAAAAAAATGCCTGATTTTCTAACTCGATCAGCACCACTTTATAAAATGCGACTGTCAGGACGCGAGACTTGTGTGGACTGGGACTCGATGTTTGGTGACTGGAATACAAATTTGTAAAAACGTCATCGTGGCTTCGGACATTTCATTGGTCGGGAGCGTCCTCCCTTGTTTTCTGATTGGCTAAACGCATGTCTGCGCGCGTAAATATTTAGATTGGCTTGGCCCGTGTCATGCAGAGGTCTTTAAAACAGGAAGTTGCATCGACGCACTTGTCTGACTTTTATCTTAGAATGTATGGATCAGCATGCTATGGTAGCCTGGAGCCTGGCATGACATTTGTGATTTGGTATTCATCCTTTTTCAGCGTCTGAAATTTAATGTTTTAATATTTCGAAGATGCACGCACAATGTGATGCGATACAGGGAAAATCACTGGGTGCGGTATCCACTGAATTCGTCATGACGGATCAGCGGTTAAATCAAGTAGGCCAATAAAAGACCAAAGGATTTAGACTACAGTACTTCGCAGGGTTAGATATGTCAGTGGGACACATATACATTTAGGTACAGTCTTTGAAACTTTATGAATCACTTAAGAATATCTCAACAAGTACGAAAAGACTTTGTGCCATTTTTTTACTCTTTAAGGGCGGAGCCATGACATAACCACGTGGAGGGTGGAGTTCCTTGCGGAAGAAAAAAGCCTTTGACAAATTCACTTTTCTATAATTCCCTTTAAGACAGATGACCCAAACACTACATCATGAGAAACAAAACCCCAGAATTTGCCTCTTTTGGATTGGGGCCTCATATAGATGTAGCAGGCAATATTGGTGCGGCTTTTTTAGCTTCCAAAATATGTGGACGTGAGAGTGCAGAACGTTTACATTTGTAAACAAAACTAATAATTCCCCTTTCCCGTTGAGATTTTGTCCCTAAAACTAGGGACACAACTGGCATATAAACAAAAGACGAACAAGCTAACCCAAATCTTGATATTGAACACATCAAATTAGCAACCATGGAAAGTTCGTTATGCTGCTATGAAGTTTTAAATAATGTGTACGTCTTCATTTCGAAAAAAAAAACCCTTTTGATTGTAGAAAAAATGGCATTAAGTGAATTTGGGCTTGTAGTCCAGCGGATATGTGCAAAAAATTGTGCACTTTGGATAAAAGCGTGAAACTTACTAATCCATTTCATTGACACTATCGGATTGCTCATTATTTCTGGGCACAACTTTTGTTATGTACGAACTAAGTACATGTCGTCCTGTCGCATGCTTGTTAAAATGTTTTGAAAATTGTTTTCCAATAAGAAGGCAGATCTGGCATATGAACAAAAGATGAAGAATCTAACCAACATCTTTATTTTGAACACATATGACAACATGGACAGCTCGTTAATGTTGCTATAACATTTTAACTGGTATGTCAGTGTTCTTAGTCGTAAGAACAACAGTAGGAAAACAAGTGATTTCACATCAACAAATTTTGTCTTCAATCTTCTTGTCTAAATTCGGCGAGAGTTAAAGGTTTATAAAACAATACATCTATAAATGCTAAATGTTCATTTGAGAACTGAAATTTCACACAATGTGATTGCTACATCAAATGTGCTTACTCGTTTTTGTTTTTTCCCTTCCCCTCAATATTTTTTAAAACGTTTTTAATCCACCCTGAAGTACAACATTTATGTGCTGGATTCGCATCAAGGAATGGACATTGCACTTCTGTTTTATAATTTTAGTGAAAAGGACGGATCCTATTCGATTCTTATCATCCCTTATTTTTTTGTTAAAAAACAACAACAACTGTACTTCCTCTTGCATAGAAGCGAAATACACATGGCATTTCGCTTTTACCACTAATAGAGCGCTGAAGCCAGTTGAGAAAGAAATTGACAAGAGTTTGGATTGATGGCGTAGTTGCCGCTGTTAAATAAAATACTAAGACAGAAGACTAAGGTTTGTTTCAGATCAACCTGGAAGGATTAATGTAAACGATTTAGAAATGGCGTCCCCCTACTGTATGGTTGCCATTTCTGTGATCTTAAACACAAAATCAATAGAAAGTCAAACCTGCAAATGTTACCATTGAAGAAAACACTTTTCTTTGAAATATTAGCCCTAAAATAGTTTTGACCCTTCACCTGACCTTGTGCACACATCCACGCCTACTGATCCTTCGTTCTTGTGACTGTCCCTATCTTGCTGAGCCCCGGATACATGATGTATGTGTCTTAATATTTTACAAACGTTGAAATCTTCTTGCTTCCACAGTGATAGAGTCAGTGGTTGGGATAGCATGAGATATGCCTAGGATTACATAATTCTTAAGTTCAGCCGAGTGGCGCACCCAAGGTGGGGGGGGGGGGGGAGAGGGGGGTGGGGGGGGTTAAGCCACCCCCCAAGAGGTTGTCAATTTTGTTTGTGTGTTTAAGTCCCACGATTTGACCTTGGTGATATGTATGTGGCCTATTTTCGAGTAGTAAGAAAGGGTAAGTGGCGCCACCAACGTCAAAATAGTCCACCCAAAAATGATAAAACATTTATTTTTTCTGCGGCAAAATTTTGGGCAGCATTTGGTGAAAACAAAAATTAAAAACTTCCAAAAAGATTGAACAAGAATTCCAGTCCAGCAATTTTTTACTGAAACATTTTTTACCGTATAAAATAATTCATGTCTGTTTGCAGGTCTCAGTTACTTTGATCTACGGATGATCTCTAACGAGCTTGGCTCTGAATGGCGGCAGCTGGCTAGACATCTCGGTTTAAGCGCTGCAGAGATCGAGCGCATCGTGATGGATGACCCAGGCCACACACCCAACCAGATCTTCAACATGCTGGTCAAATGGAGGCACCAACAATCCACTAGCACGGATCAGAGGGACGTGTTAGACACAGCTCTGATGGAGATCGGCAGATGGGACATTGCTGAAGACCTGTTAGGTAGGTATCAGAATGAACCACCTCAATCGTTACTTTCATGACATTTATGATGCTTGGAACTTGGGGGAGCACATCATCCAAGGTTGTTTCTGAAAACAACATTTAAATTGTCGCTGCATTAAATGGCGCTGCACGGTGAAAAGAGACATTACAAATTAGGAGAGCACAAACATGTGGCTAAACTACATGTAGGTCAGTTCATTGAAATGGTAATTTAGAGGTTGCCTTTCCAAATATAGTATTTTGTTTTACTAATCTGATTTGTTTTTGAAATCAAAGAGAAAGTGATACAATATTTCTCGTCAGTGTTGCCTGGTAGCAAGCAGCCAACAACAAATAAAAAGATTCATTCCGATTCTTATTGATTCCTATGTCTCAGATCAAAATAAGAAATATGCCGACTCACGGGGATAGGTAGGAGAAATGTCTTCAACTGTTGGTGAAGATGTCCCTTCTTAATTTCATGATGGAGAAAGCAGGTTTAAAGGGACACTGCGTCCTGGAACAGCCCAATTGGGATACAAAATGCGCTTTGAACGAAATGATGTTAATCGGAAAGAACATTTAAAAGTAGGATATACACATCGACCCAACTATTCCTAAAAACGTGGCGTTTTGTGGACGTGTAAGAAACCACAATTTGTGCATTGGTGATTGGTCACCGCTGTTCCCGACCGGTGCTATGTACGTGTGCTATCGTACATTAAATAAAAACGTCAGGAACAACGTATTCGTACTCCGTCATGTCCGATTATTATTATTATTATTATTATTTATTCGGCCAAGATTTGCAACAAACATATACAGAGAATATGACAATGTAACTCCAGAGGAGACAAGATTACAAGTATAAGAAGTCATGAAACAATACAAATAAGTGTAAACAAAAGCAAGGAGCTATGAATAAAGGCAGCAATGATAAAAGACAAGGTTGTTACAGAATAAGACAAAACAAGAACAGAACAAAACCCAAATTAAGATGGCCAGGATTAATAAAAGTGAACTTAAACACTATGACTCGAAAGTCTATCAATCCAATCCTAAAAGGGAACACGGAATAAATATTATGAAATCTGTGAACAGAGCAATAGTTAATAAAAACAATTACACACATTCATTACATAAAAATACAAAAATTACATAAAAATACAAAACTAACAAATTTAGGGCAAGTTTGGCAGTGGCAAAATTAACCACTTAAAAGCATGGAACAAAAAACTGAAAAAAAAAACCCACAACAACAACAACAACAACAACAACAAAAACAAAAAAAAACAACCGGTTTTGTCCGTCTTTTCTCGGGAACGGTAAGACATTATGTCGGTTTCCTTCCAACCAGATGTTTGACATAGGATAAATAAACAATCAGCATTTTTTGTTAATAGCAAGCAACCATGTCAGAAGAAAGAGAAGAAAATGGAGGTGGATGCCACCCTTAATTTTGATTCAAATATACCTAATTTGCATAAATTGTTTATCCCTGCCGTGTAGGCTAATATATATATTCCCATATTTGGGTACATTCTTTATTTTATTTTAATTTTATTTTTTTAACTTTTTCAAAAGTTTATCTTGATGATTCTACTTACAAATCCTTACTTCAACAACATTTTCTTAAGCATGTAAGTGACTGAATAATTACGAGGACATTGTAACTAATTCTATTCTGTTGCCTTCAGATATCAGAGGAGGCTCAGACAGCTTTTGCAAATTGTGTAATCCTCTCAGTGGAACCACAAGTCACTACCCTCTTGGTAAGCATTTAAACAACCATTCTTGTTTTGTGTTAAAATACTCCCATCAGTTTGTTTTAAACTGCTGCTGGGCTATACCGCGTTAAAACAGTATTTTTAATCTCAGAAACTAATTGTATTTTGAAGAACTTTTTCAGTGATGGCCCTACCAGCCACACCAGGAGTATTTTAGTTGTTTCTGTAGGATATTCCATTTGCTGCTCAATGTAATGGTTCTGCTGGGTGAAACGGCTTGTGTGAGTCAATGTGTGTTTACTTTTAAACAGTTGGAATCTTCCAAATGAAGAGCTGACCTTGGAAATCCGCTGAAGGATTTCTTCATCGAGGGATACTGTGTTTGAGAGGACACTGCCAAGGTAGCAAAACTTTTCTACCGATTTGAGAGGGTTGTTGTTGTTTGTTACAACTGGGTGATTGTCGGGGGCAGGCTGGTACATCACCTCAGTCTTTTTTATGCTGATTGTGATTCCGAATCTGCTACAGGCACGATTGAACATGTCCGTGATGGATTGAATGTCCTCGAGAGAATTGGTCACTAGTGCACAATCATTTGCAAAAAGCATGTCCTTTATCATCATCTCCAGTACCTTGGTGCGAGCCTGTAGTCGTCTTAGGTTGAACAGCCCTTATATGTATGGACTCTGCTTGGTTCCATTCTGGTTCCATTTGTGACGGGGAATAGGTCGGACGACTCTCCACACTCCTGCACACTAGCTAGCATCCCTGCATGGAAGGATCTGATAAGAGAGACAAACTTGTCAGGACATCCAAGCTTGTGTGAGATTTTCCAGAGGTCATCACGGTTCACGGGGTCGAACGCCTTTGTAAGGTCCACAAATACCATGTACAGATCTTAATTTTGCTCCTGACATTGCTTTTGTATTTTGTCAAACTGCAAATATCATGTCTGTGGTGTATCGGTCTGGTCTAAGCCCACACTGGGATTCGGGGTATACGGTATCTACCAGTTGTTCTGTCATCCTATTGAGTACGATTCGTGCCAGGATTTTTCCAGCAATTTAGAGAAGGGAGATGCCCCGATGGGTGTCGCAGCAGGTGTCGTCAGCCTTGCGCTTGTAAAGCTAAACTATTGTTGCGTCTTTGAACTCCATGAGACTGAGCCCTGGTGCCAGATAATCCTGAGCAGATGGGTAAGTTTCCTCTTCATGTGATCACCTCCATGTTTGTAAAACTCGGCAGGGATCCCATCAGCGCCAGAGGACTTGCCTGAAGAAGTATGTCTGTTGGCCTTGCAAACCTCATGCGATGAAGGGGCAGGTTCAGGTCATCGAGGATCTGTCTCTGGGGTAGGCCTACATCATCTAGTGCTTCCTCTGACATAGATGATTGACAATTTAGGAAGCAGTTGAAGCGCTCGGCCAAGCGAGTGAGGATTTCTGCCTTGTCTATGAACAGCTTCTCATCATCGATGGAGCGGACAGGAGCGCTACCACAGGACTTGGGACCATGCACTGCTCTGAGACCCTCATCGAGCAGCTTTTAGTTGTGTGTGTGTGTCTGCAGCTTCCTGCAGCTCTTGGGCCTTCTTCAACCACCATGATTCCTAATCTGTCTGAGTCTGGTCTGAACCATATGCTTGGCTTAAAGGTACTGTCACTTGCTTGTGGCTGATGATTTGTTGACGATATAGTTACCGTGGGTGATGTGAATCCTCTTTAACAGCGAAGATATCTCCTGGTCATTCTCATCGAACGAGTCCTGTTTTTTCCGCTGTACACATTCTAAGGCCTCTGCGCTGGGGGCTTGTCCCTCCTTGGGGCTTGCTCTGTCCAAGTCCTCATAGAAAGCCTCTTTGACATCGTCAGTGTGAGAAATAGTTTGAGCATAGACACTAATTATGGTGCCCCGACAGTCTCTGGGAAGGTTTATTCGAATGGTCACCAACCTGTCATTGATACCTTTAGGTAGTTGCTCCTGGCCCCGAGCCACATATGTGCGAACGGCGAATCCGACTCCTCCCGTTCTGGGTCCCCCCCCCCCGTCAGGCTTGCCAATCCAGTAAAAGGTGTAGCCTGCACCCACCTCCTCCAAGTTGGATTCTCCAGATAAAATGTCTTGCTGAGATCTGCGATGTCGATATTGTACTCTCATAACATCTTCCCAATAAGGACTAACCAGCACTCTGGTCTCTTGTCGTTATCTAGCATGGTCCTAACTTTCCGATCTCCAAGGTTTAGAAAATGTTTCAGTTTCTGCTGTTGTTTTCGACCGCAGCAATGGATGGCCAGCCAAGCGCGGTCTCCAGGCAAGCTCAGCTGGAGTAGGCGGTTTTTAGTTATCCTTTTGAGTACATTTCCCCATGTTTGGAGATCATTGCTATCCCTGAAGATGGCAGGTTCGTGGCTAACGACTACCTGCAGCATCCCCAGCCTGTCCCTGTTGCCTTTCACCCATCGCCACAGGACTTTGATAGGTCTTGGTGGATAGTGGTCATCTGATGTCGCCGAATGACCTGCACCTGATGAGTGGATTTTTGTGTGAGAAAGGTGCATGTGTGCACTCCCAGTCCCACTCTCTCCTCCGATACATGCCAAGCGCTGTCTGGTGCAGTAGCTGCCACGAGATGAGCGACGTGCATGGATGCGGGTCTTATTTTGGAGTGTCCTTCTCCAAGGCAGACTGCCGACCAAGGCTAACGAGGGCCACCTACCCGGGTTTGGAATCAGAGTTTGCCTTCTCCTAGATGGACTACCAACCAAGGCTAACGAGCCCCAACTACAATGAGCACCTGGTTAAATCCACATGAACTCACTTCCACCCTCTGTCATTTCGATGGCGTAGTGTATTATTAAATTATTTTTGAAAATAAATTACTAGGACAGAAGACTTGTTTCAGTCCAACCGGAAGGATTATTTTGCACGATTTCGAAATGGCGTCCCCCTTTTGTATGATTGTTATTTGTTTTTTTGAAAACATAATCAATGAAACGTCAAACCTGCAAATAAATGTTACCATTGAAGAAAACACTTTACTTTGGAATCATTACAACATTTGACCCCCTCTTATGGTACACATGAGTCACATTGCATTGGCATTCACAGTGACATCATTGATATATCATTACCTAACGATTGAATCATATCCGTCCAGTTTGAACAATCACGCTCCCTGTGTCAAATGAACTAATAGTTATAGTTTAAGAAGCAAAGTAGGGGGAAAGTTAGTAAATATCTGTAACAATCCACACGAATTCCATGACGGGACACGGCGTCCTTATCGTGGTTTTAGCTATAGTAGGCCCAGAAAAACCTATTTCGTTACGAAAAACCTGACAGGGAAAATGAACATTTTTACACGAAAGAAGTACATGGGATAGCATGAGATATGCCTAGGATTTCAGAATTCTTAAGTTCAGCCGAGTGGCGCACCCAAGGGGGGGGGGGGGGTCGGGTGGGTTGAGCCACCCCCAAGAGGTTGTCAATGTTTTTGTGTGTGTTTAAGTCCCACGATTTGACCTTGGTGATATGTATGTGCCCTATTTTCGAGTAGTAAAAAAGGGTAAGTGGCGCCACCAACGTCAAAATAGTCCACCCCAAAAATGAAAAAAACATTTTTCTGCGGCCAAATTTTGGGCAGCATTTTGTGAAAAAAAAATTAAAAACTTCTAAAAAGATCTTAACGATCATGAAATACAACATAAAAGTTTTTCACTGGAACATTTTTTGCCGTATAAAATAATTCATGTCTGTTTGCAGATATCAGTGACTTTGATCTACGCATGATCTCTAACGAGCTTGGCTCCGAATGGCGAAAGCTGGCTACAAATCTTGGATTGAGCACTGCAGAGATCGAGCACATCGTGATGGATGACCCAGGCCAGACAGACAAGCAGATCTTCATCATGCTGGTCAAATGGAAAAGCAGAGTATCCACTAGCTTGGATCAGAGGGAAGTGTTATGCAAAGCTCTGATGGAGATCGGTAGAAGGGACATTGCTGAATACCTGTTAGGTAGGTATCAGAATGAACCACCTCAATCGTTACTTTCATGACATTTATGTGGCTTGGACTTTGGGGGTGCACATCATCCAAGTTTGTTTCTGAAACAACATTTAAATTGTCGCTGCATTAAATGGCGCTGCACGGTGAAAAGAGACATTACAAATTAGGAGAGCACAAACATGTGGCTAAACTACATGTAGTTCAGTTCATTGAAATGGTAATTTAGAGGTTGCCTTTCCAAATATAGTATTTTGTTTTACTAATCTGATTTGTTTTTGAAATCAAAGAGAAAGTGATACAATATTTCTCGTCAGTGTTGCCTGGTAGCAAGCAGCCAACAACAAATAAAAAGATTCATTCCGATTCTTATTGATTCCTCTGTCTCAGATCAAAATAAGAAATATGCCGACTCACGGGGATAGGTAGGAGAAATGTCTTCAACTGTTGGTGAAGATGTCCCTTCTTAATTTCATGATGGAGAAAGCAGGTTTAAAGGGACACTGCGTCCTGGAACAGCCCAATTGGGATACAAAATGCTCTATGAACGAAATGATGTTAATCGGAAAGAACATTTAAAAGTAGGATATACACATCGACCCAACTATTCCTTAAAAACGTGGCGTTTTGTGGACGTGTAAGAAACCACAATTTGTGCATTGGTGATTGGTCACTGCTGCTCCCGACCGGTGCTGTGTACGTGTGCTATCGTACATTAAATAAAAACGTCAGGAACAACGTAATCGTACTCCGTCATGTCCGATTATTATTATTATTATTATTATTATTTATTCGGCCAAGATTTGCAACAAATATATACAGAGAATATGACAATGTAACTCCAGAGGAGACAAGATTACAAGTATAAGAAGTCATGAAACAATACAAATAAGTATAAACAAAAGCAAGGAGCTATGAATAAAGGCAGCAATGATAAAAGACAAGGTTGTTACAGAATAAGACAAAACAAGAACAGAACAAAACCCAAATTAAGATGGCCAGGATTAATAAAAGTGAACTTAAACACTATGACTCGAAAGCCTATCAATCCAATCCTAAAAGGGAACACGGAATAAATATTATGAAATCTGTGAACAGAGCAATAGTTAATAAAAACAATTACACACATTCATTACATAAAAATACAAAAATTACATAAAAAATACAAAACTAACAAATTTAGGGCAAGTTTGGCAATGGCAAAATTAACCACTTAAAAACACGGAAAAAAAACTGAAAAAAACCAAAAACAACAAGAACAACAACAAAAACAAAAAAACAACCGGTTTTGTCCGTCTTTTCTCGGGAACGGTAAGACATTATGTCGGTTTCCTTCCAACCAGATGTTTGAAATAGGATAAATAAACAATCAGCATTTTTTGTTAATAGCAAGCAACCATGTCAGAAGAAAGAGAAGAAAATGGAGGTGGATGCCACCCTTAATTTTGATTCAAATATACCTAATTTGCATAAATTGTTTATCCCTGCCGTGTAGGCTAATATATATATTCCCATATTTGGGTACATTCTTTATTTTATTTTAATTTTATTTTTTTAACTTTTTCAAAAGTTTATTTTGATGATTCTACTTACAAATCCTTACTTCAACAACATTTTCTTAAGCATGTAAGTGACTGAATAATTACGAGGACATTGTAACTAATTCTATTCTATTGCCTTCAGATATCAGAGGAGGCTCAGGCAACTTTTGCAAATTGTGTAATTCTCTCAGTGGAACCACAAGTCACTACCCTCTTGGTAAGCATGTAAACAACCATTCTTGTTTTGTGTTAAAATACTCCCATCAGTTTGTTTTAAACTGCTGCTGGGCTATACCGCGTTAAAGCAGTATTTTGAATCTCAGTATCTTAATTGAATTTTGCAGCATTTTTTCAGTGATGGTCCTTCCAGCCACACCAGAAGTACTTTAGTTGTTTCTGTTTCTGATATTCCATTTGCTGTTCGGTGCAATGGTTCTGTGAGGTTGAAACGGCTTGTGTGTGTTAATGTGTATTTACTTTTAAACACTCGTCTATTAATGTTGAGACAGCATTTTGGGTTAAGAAAGCCCCTTAAGAAAGGTTAAGAAAATTGAGTTCATATATTTATTGCTTGCGGTTAAACATGTCAATGCCATGTGTATTATCCAGTATCTCAATTGAAAGTCCAACGTTAACGTTGTGCCTCAAGAATGTATTCTCTATACGAGGGGCGTCACATAAGTTTGAATGTCGACGTTACTTTGGTTGTTAATAAACTCGGCTTCGTCTCTAGGTTTCGGCTTTGCCTGATATTTGGATCCCTAACTTTGGAGATTCCCGCTCTTCATGTGCCAATGTTTTCCTACAAATATATTAGGGTATGTCCAACTTCATATGAATCAAGTATTGTTTTATATTGGTCTTTAGCCTGAGTGGTATCGAGGTCAGAGATGAAGCCAAGACGGAGACACAGCCGAGCTTTGAGAACGGGTCATCATATTTATCCTTTAGCATTGGCGGCTACTTGACCACATTTCTCCGAATTAAGTTTTGAAATGGGAATCATGCAGATTATCCCCCGATCATATTTTTTTTCTGCCTGCCCCTCTTTCTATTCTCATAATTCATTGTCTTATGCTATTGACAGAAAGGGGCACAACTCATCAGCCATATACAAGCATCATCACAGGTAACGGTAGTCACCTTTATTATTGAATGTTTGATATTATTATTTGAAGATTAAAGTAACCTGTCGACTTTTTAAAATATATATATCACGCCAATACCTCTGTTGTCTCAATTGTGTTATATTACACAATTAAGGGTAAATTTCACTCATTTAATGAATGGAGGGTTTCAAAGACAAGTACATTTTGATCACCAAAGAGGGAACATTCCTGCTTGCTTGCCTTTCGAATATTTCAAACATATTTTACAATTGGTCGGCGTTTGGTGTGTAAGTTTGTTGTTTTTGAAGCAACTTTATATGTTTCGATGAAATCGTTTGCAACTTACAAATCACTAATTTTATTTTTTATATATTTTGTGCAATGAAACAGAAATTCACAAAGAAAAAGTCAAAGGGGGAGATGCAAAGCAATCAACACCAGGTAACAAATTTACATAGCATACATTTATAACGTTTACGAAAAAAGTCAACAAATACAAGGTCAGGGGGAGAGTTTCCGTCGTACTTCATGCATGACAACTGCTTCGGATTACAGATATTTTGTTCTGGGACCAGACTGTGATCCACCGGTTCACATTTTTCTGCCTTCCCCTCTTTCTATTTTCATGTTTCATATATATTTTTTTATACTAGTGACAGAGAGGCACAGCTGGTCTGCCATATACCACCACAGCAGTGGCGTACGCAGGATTTTTTCAAGGGGGGTGTTTCAAAATTGGATGTCGTCATTTATGACGCTAGAAATGAAGATGGTAAATTGTGTTGGCGCCAGAAATAAAAAATAGTATCAGTGGGCTAAACTTTACGCTAAAATAAAAGTCAGGAGTTTGTGTTGGCGCCAGAAATAAAAGAGGGTATATTTGGACGGGTTAAACTCGAAGGGCCGGGAACCCCCGACCATCAGTTATCTGATGAGTTAAAGCATAGTAAATCGGGAAAAAAATGTTCTGTGTCTTTAGAGTATGATGAACATATGAGTAAAGGGGTCAATGTGGGCAGTACCCTCCCTCAACAGCATTTAAACCAAAAAAAAAAGAAATTCAAGAAAAATAGTGACACGGGCTGCGGAAGTGCTAGGATCTGTTCTTGTTATTGGCTAAAATCACTCAGCTTCGTCCCCTGGATCTCATGATTCTCATCCGTTGGGAATCTTTGTGTAAACCGCCCCCACCCCTAAGGCCAAACTTCAGATACAGGATACATATGCGCTCTGGTCACAGGAGCGGATTCAGACTGCCATTTGCCGGGGGGCCTAGAATTATTGTAATGAAGGGTCCAGGACCTGCGAAGCCCTTACGGCGTGGGGTCCGGGGCCCGCTTAAGGGCCCCGGAAAAAATTTGGATTTTAGATGCTCTGTGGTGCAATCTGAGGCGATTCCTGGCCACTTCCACCGTTTAGAAAACGTTTTAAACATCGAAAATTCCATTTAAATTTGTTATTTTTTTTTTGTTGTTTATAAAGTTTGTTACGTACTCAAAGTTGAGAACCATGTTCCATCTCCGTATTTTTTCCCCATTTTTTCTATTTTGGAAAGGGATTTATGCCACTTGTAGAGCCATTCGCTGCTGAAGGTACAAAATGGTGGGGGCACCGCTAGGGTGAAATTATAGCATAGAGGGAATTTGAATCCCGGGACATACCGTTATTTCGTTTTACCGTTTTGGATTTCCTCAAAAACAAAAACAGTAAACGAATCATCGACCGTTTTGTCGTTTTACAGTGTTATAAAACGACAAGCGGTATTAAGATAAATACGAGTTCTCCGTTTTATAAGGTTAGTAAAATTCATTATAGCATAACGATCAATGATTTTTGTTTTACAGATTACACAAATACAGACTGTTTTTTTATTCCAGTGTCATGGTTAACAGTCCATGGTGCATTTTGTGGCGGTGGGCAAGGGGGGGGGGGACCATGTTTTACACGAAGAATTGTTACATCGGCATAATTAATGCGTGATGTGATTCCTGGCGCGGACCCTGACCCCTTTCTCATGCGATTTAGTCAAGTTGGTGGGGCTTAAAGAGTTCCAAGCAAAATGGCGCTGGAAAACTTCAAGGGAGGACATTACTTTTCACAATGGAAACAGGATGGTAATAAGACGTTTGATGGTGTTGCAGACATTTTGAAGGAAACTGGGGTTCAAGTCGACGCGGCTCTTCAATAGCCAATTCGCAAATTTTGTCGTGAGAACGAAATGTAAGGAGCGGGGCCCAGGCAATGACTCGATCCCAAGGACGCATTAATTAACATTCCGGTGCATTGCTTAATTGCCGAACCTAAAATCAAAAAATGGTCGGCAAGACTATTAACCGTTTTGTCATTGTCATGATTTTGTAAAACATCACTCTAAAAATAAAGCAACTAACCGTTTAACGCTTTCTACAATTAAAAACAACAACAAAAAGTATTTTGTGTGTGTGACTTAATACCGTTTGACCGTTTTACAAAACTGTAAAACGAGAAAACGGTCAATGGTTCGTTTACTGTTTTTGTTTTTGAGGAAATCCAAAACGGTAAAACGAAATAACGGTACGTCCCGGGATTAATTTGGCCGGAGGACCAATGCGAGCGCGGAGCGCGGAGCGCGAAGCACTTACGGCGTGGGGTCCGGGGCCCGCTTAAGGGCCCCGGGAAATTTTGGATCGAAGATGCTCTGTGGTGCAATCTGAGGCGTTTCCTGGCCACTTTCCCCTGTTTTTTTTAGCAGAAGTTTTTTAAATTATGAGGGGATATTTTGTATCATTTGTTTCAAATACATATAGGCCTATATACTCTTGCCCTTATAAAGTGTCTTCTGTATTCAAAGCTTAAAGTTGAGAATATGCACATAATTTGTAATTGTTCCGCACTCGGTCACATAAATCTCTTTTCCCTCCATATTTTTACATGGCAAAGGGGGGTGTTTAACAGCCAAAACACCCCCCCTGCGTACGCGCCTGCACCACAGGTTATAACAGCCGTGTGGTTGCGAAGGGCGATTTCTAAAGGTTACGTACACATTATCTTGAATGAATTGTTTAGCAAATTGGCCTGGCTACCTACATTTTTAAAGTTGTAACACTTAAGTTTGCAACATCTGTCAATCTTTTCAAGCCTCATGAATATTAATAAGGTGCCTATCCATTATAGTATGCAGTAAAAATTTGAAGCAAAATCTCTTTCACGAGTTATTAATTAATATATATCAGCCTTTTTGCCGGCTTCCATTGGTCGATACCGAGACTCCCGCCAAATCACGCCAAGTGACGCTAATGAATTTGCTAATATGCGCTTCGTCATTGTGTTGCCGGGCCGAAATCGGTCAGCCATAGCGCCCACGGCGCTATAGGAACTTTGCTGAAAACCATGCACTTGGGTTTTGTCTGCAAAAAATCATCGTCGAAATTTTTCTTGGAGATGGTTAAAGGTGTAGCACTAGCGTTTCCATCAACAGATTAAGCTGAAATTTGGAATATACTTAGATGATATAACTTTGTTCAACTACTCGTGAAATAACGACTTGAGTGAATTCGTAGAATTTGAGATGAATGCATTGATTTGGGGACGTTTTCGTACGATTTCTTCCAGACTTGAAGGTCAGCTTTACCAGTGACCATTATTGAGGTTTCGGTATCAATTACAGCGATTGTTTTCACTGACATGAAGTTTAGAATTTCTTCTTCCGTTATATTTTAACGTTTCAATCATAGTGAGCATATTTTCTGAGAAACAAAACGTTCAAAAGGCCATGTTTTTTTGCGGGGCATGAATTTCATTGCTCTGTTATAGCGTCTAAATACGTAATCGCATTAACTTTGCTTATCAACGGGCCACGCTTCACCTTCGCTACCACACGGCTGATAATAGTCACCTCCTTGTCGAATGTTTCGGAATTTCATTCATAGAAATCAGTATTCCATCCGGTGGTTTTCAATAACACACGCAAATTAATTGTGTTACATCACTTATTAAAGGGTGACGTTTCACTCCAATGATTAACAGGGTTGCTTACGTACAACTACTTCGTGATTACAAAAGAGGTCATAGTCTGATGCACCATTGACAGTTTTCAATCAATCACGCTCACTCATATCATAAGTATCGATTCAATAGTTTTTACATGATTTCCAGAACTTCAGTGAGTCGATCAGGGCGCTGTCGATGTCGATGAACGGTACTTTGAATATTCTGGCTCGAACAAACCGCAACTTATTATAAATCATTTGCTGTTCTTGGACTCCATAACTACGATTAAGAGGCGACTAGATGGATGGCTACAAGATGCTGTCTTGGGCCGCATAACGAGTACACCCTTCAGATAAGCGGACAAGGAACCATTAAAACAGTATGACGATTTACATGAGATTTCAGTTTGGAAGTTACAAACAATTATTTATCATTTGTCAAAGAAGGGGTCAAGGAAGGGAGCCCCACAGTCTATGCATGCACGGCTCCTTCCACTTTCAACCCTTGTACAACCCTTTCTTCTTTCTGAGATGCAAAAGGAGGTATCTGGTTTTCTTATTTTGCACCACGTTTTAAAACTATGGACTGGCAGAGCGCGAGACTGCTAGGTCATATACGATTAAACCACTGATTTTGTCAGGAAAGATAAGCGAATAAAATTAACTATACTGATGTACGCGTGTATGACATGGATGTTTTTCTTAAAAAGGCGATTAAACCTTTTAATGAGACTCAATGGCCTAGCCACAATATTTTTGCCAAATTTCGTGGACAGTATTAGAATAAACATTACAGTAAATTGCAATCGAAAGTTAATCTTGGAAAGGGAATTTCTTGCCACACAAAAATCATTTTCTTTTCATAGTTTGTGAAAAACTTGCCACATTGAGAAACCGTTTTCACACACTTTCATACAAATGGAAAACATTTTCACTCTGTCTTAACTTTCAACCGGAATTTACTGTAATCCACTTTGTACGGGAAAAAAAAACAAAGACCAAAACTAGCTGTTGTGTGGTTCTCCCTGGATATCTTCATAATGAATGCACATGCTTTACATGTATATAAGGCCCTGCAAATTCTCTGGTTTTCTTTAGACATATCTCTTTCAAAATTGGCCTATCGCTTTTAAGTTTTGTCCTCCGAAAACTCAAGTGCAGGTTCAAAGACTCAAAAAAAGTTGAGTTCATTGTATTCATTGCTTGCAGTTAAACATGTCAATGTCAGGCGTATTATCCAGTATCTCAATTGAATGTCCAACGTTAACGTTGTGCCTCAATAATGTATTCTCTGTACGAGGGGCGTCACATAAGTTGAAATGTCGACGTTACCTTGGTTGTTCAAACCTCGGCTTCGTCTATAGGTATCGGCTTTGCCTGATATTCGGCTCCCTAACTTTAGAGATTCCCGCTCATCAATTGCAAGTGTTTTTTAATATATTAGGGTGTATCTAACTGTATATGCATACAGTATTGTTTTTTATTTGGTCCTTAGCCTTGGCGGTTCCGAGGTCAGAGATAGAGCCAAGGCGGAGACAAAGCCGAGCTTTGAGAACGGGTCATCATGTTTATCCTTAGCAGTGGCGGATACTTGACCACATTTGTCTGAATTGTTATTCTTTTGAAATGAATCATGCAGAGTATCCCCAGACCATATTTTTTTCTGCCTGCCCCTCTTTCTATTCTCATGTTTCATTGTTTTATGCTACTGACAGAAATCGGCACAGCTCATCAGCCATATACAACCATCAGCACAGGTAACAGTAGTCACCTTTATTATTGAATTATTTGCAGATTAAAGTAACCTGTCGATTTTTTTTATAAGTATATATATATATCACGCAAATACCTCTATTGTCTCAAATGTGTTATATTACACAATTAAGGGTGACGTTTGACTCGAGTGGTGAATGTAGGGTTTCAAAGACAAGTACATTTTGACTACCAAAGAGGGAACGTTACCGCTCGTTTGCCAAAATCTTTAAAAAAAAAATTCTCCCGTTTGGAAGACGATATCTTCATGCAACTTTCAGGGTTCAATTCCCTTATAACTTTCCAAGTTTGTGCTAAAAATCCTTGTGATATGTTCATTACTTTTCGTTGAAATTGGAAAAAAAGACCTGGTTACCTGCATTTTAAAAGTTTTAACACTGGAGTTTGCAATATATGTCAATCTTTTCAAGCCTCACGAATATTAATAAGGTTCCTATCTATAACGGTATGCAGTAAAAATGTGAAGAAAAGCCTTCTTCACGAGTTATTAATTAATAAATATCAGCCTTTTTGCCGGCTGCCATTGGTCGATACCGAGACCCACGCCAAGTCACGCCGAGTGACGTTAATGAATTTGCTAATATGCGCTTCGTCATTGTGTTACCGGGCCGAAATCGGTGAGCCGTAGCGCCTACGGCGCTATAGGATCTTTGCTGAAAACCATGCACGTTGGTTTGGTCTGCAAAAATTCATCGTCGAAATTTTCATGGGAGTTAGTTAAAGGTGTAACACTAGCGTTTCCAACAACATATTAAGCTGAAATTTGGAATATACTTAGATGATATAATTTTGTTCAACTACTCGTGAAATAACGACTTGAGGGGATTCCTAGAAATTGAGAAAAATACTTAGATTTGGGGAAGTTTTCGAAAGATTTCTTCCCGACTTAAAGGTCAGCTTTACCAGTAACCAATATTTAGGATTTGGCATCAATGACGGCGATTTTTTTCACTGACATGAAGTTTAGATTTTCTTCCTCCGTTATAATTTAACGTTTCAATCATTATGAACATATTTTCCGAGAAACAAAAACGTTCGAAAGGCTATGTTTTTTGGGGGCGTATGAATTTCACTGCTCTGTTATAGCGTCTAAATACGTAATCGGATTAACTTTGCTTATCAACGGGCAACGCTTCGCATTCACAACCACATGGCTGATAATAGTCATCTCCTCGTTCATAGATTTCAGTATTCCGTCCAGTGGTTTTCATTTACACACGCAGATTAATTGTATTACATCATTAATTAAAGCGTGACGTTTCACTGAATTTGTCAGGACAGATTAGCGCGTAAAATTAACTATTTTTATGTACACGTGATGACATGGATGTTATTTTTAAAAAGGCGATTAAAAAATTTAATTAGTCTAAATGGCCTGGCCACAAATATGACATTATTATAATAAGAATTACAGTGAATTGCAATTGAAAGTTAACCTTAAAAACGGGAATTTTTCTTTCCACAGAGAATTCATTTTCATTTCATAAAGTGTGGAAAACTTTACCCACATTGAGAAACCGTTTTTTCACACTTTTATATAAGTGGAAACATTTTCACACCCTTTCACACAAGTGGGAAACATTTTCAATCTTTTTCACACCTTCTCTTTTCACACAAATGTTAACTTTCAATCGGAATTCACTGTGTGGTTCTCCCTGGATATCTTCATAATGAATGCACCTACGTTACATGTATATAAGGCCCCTACAAATTATCTGGTTTCCTTTAGACATTTCTCTTTCAAAATACTGCTTTTAAGTTTTGTCCTCCGAAAACTCCGAAGGTTCAAGGCCTCTAGCAACGGTTTGGTTTCTGATAAAACATCGAAACAAAAATCCTTTCCTCTCATGCGTTACACAAACAATGTTTACTTGAGTTGAATTCCCTGGTTTGGGGGGGGGGGAGGGGGGGGGGGAAGTGCTGGTGAACACTACCACTTTAAATTAACATCTTGCCCGAGAGAAACGCCAATTGATATTAGAATTTGGCTTTTTTATTCCAAAAAGGTTCAAGTCCGACAAAATGGTTGCAAGGGCGTTCCTCAGTCGACGCACACGATCTTCACCTCTACAAATGGATGCCCACAGGGACCATTGACAGAAAGAATGACAGGCTTTGGCCATTTTGTATCGTTGCTACTCCTAATGAAATAGCAGTGACAGCCAGAGGCCAGATGGTATGGATACACTACATCAACGGTGTTCTTAAAACAATCATCGAAACCGAAGAAGGTAGAGGGAATGAGCTTCTTTAATACGCGATCTGTCGTGCTTTCTCTCTGTATGGCTTATCCCCACCTTTATTGACAGTTGTCCGTAATGTGGCATCGAAATAGGTCGTTGTAACGTTATATATTCCACCAACTTAAAATAAATTTAGCTATTCCCCCTTTTTTGCATCACCGCCATGAATTACTTTCCATGTGAGACATGAGCTCGAAGGCTTACGCAAAATGTATTAAATACATAATAACATATGGAAAATCTCCATTTCGCAAGGAGACAAGTTTTCGGACGCAAAGTGGCTTGAAATTAAAACTTTCCCCCAACAATATGGTCACTGCAAAGTGGATACATTAATTAAAAGTAAAATGTAACTTTTTTTCTGTTTACTTTCCTTTGCAGCCTAGACATTGATTCATTTTGTGTCATGTGACGTCACATTACATATTACACTTTTTATAGCTATACGTCCGATTTAGTTGTAACTTGGTATGAACTAGTCTGGGATGTGTCATCACATTAACGGTAATTCTTCAAAGTCTTAAATCTACAGAACTATTGGTCCTGATCACCTGCAACTTTGTACTGCACATGTTTGTCATATCAGTCTTTAACATTTCATAAACATGTAATGACAAAGTTTCCATATGTTAGTCCACAAACTTTTCAGTCTTGTCCATAGCACTTGTACACGTTTTCAACGTGCCCGGCACTTGGCTAGGGCACTTACATCGATCCGATTTCCTTTATACATGGCATACACAAAGACCAGCACCTGCTGATGTGTGCCAAACATTGACGTCGTCATGGCGTCATCACGTGTCGCGTGACGTCGCATTAAAGGTGCATTCCAAAGGCCTATTTGTACAGAACTGCAGGTATGCTTCGTATGTACATAGACCGGGCTGTGCTGTAAATGGAAATTGAAAATGACGTCCTGATGACGTCATCACATGACATGTGCCGTTATATTAAAGGTTCATATTTTGAAGGCTTTTATTTCAAGAACTACAGGTCCGATTGGGTTGAACTTGGTTTGTACCTAAACCGGGATGTGTTATGGATGAAACTAAAAGCATTGTCAAGATGACGTCATCACATGTGCATTTTTTTGTAATGGGTTTATATCCGCAGAACTTCAGGTCCGATTAAGTTGAAACTTTGTATGTACCTAATCTGGGATGTGCTATAGATGGAAATGGAAGTTACGCCATGCTGACGTCATCAAATGACATGTGAAATCACATTAACTTTGCACGTTTTAAGGCCTTTATCTACATAACTAGTTGTCATGATCACTGTGCAATTTTCTACTCCACAAGCGTGTCCTGTCAGTCTATAACACGACACAAAAACGCAGTATAAAATGAAAAAACAGTCATGGGTTTGTCCTCAAACATAAATCTAGTTTTACATGTTTTTCCTCTATTAAAATGCTACTATATTATCCCATAATACAGATATACAAGGCATTTCAGCAACACAAGACCGATTGGTGGTGGTAGGAGCTTCTACCCATCTTGTCTACATGTACACGATGAACGGCCAGTTAGACTTCAAGTTCTCGACAGTACAACATGAAGAAGTCAAGGATGCTGTAAAGCAGGTGGCCATTTGGCCATGGAGTGTAGCAAGCAAGAAGAATGGTGCCATCATAGTGGGTGATGTGGTGAGGTACGTACTGACTGAGCACAGGCCTAAAGATGGTAAGATCCTGCGCACCATGCAAGTGAAGATTAAACCTGAATATCTGGCCGTTGATGACGACGACAGAATCCTCGTCAGTGATCGCCACACTATACTCGTAGTTGACGATAGCGGTTCTGAAACCTTCACCCAACCAACGATAGACGGTAGGCTAGCTGAATCATATGGTTTATGCTGCACCAAATCGGCCATCTACGTGATTGTATCTGATGATGGTGGTAATACAGGACGTATACACCAATATGACAAAAGAGGGAACTTTGTTGAATCCATTGCCTTGGGTCTGTTTCGTCATATGGGGATTACTGTTACAGCCGATCAGCGATATCTTGCAATTGCATCTGATTACCATGTGAAGATCTACAAAGGTAGGCCTATATAAAAACTTCCATATTAAAAGACTTTCTTGATTGTTTCGAGAAATGTGTCATACATTCATAAATACCTAAGACAGTTTACCCATTCCTACTGATCGAGAGCCCGTCGCATGGCCGGTCTTAAACGGATGATAAGGACAGGCTGGCACTTTTCCAGTCTCACATGAAATTTGGATTCCCATAAAATGCGGTCTCCCATGAAATGCGGTGCCTTTCATCTTTTCATTGATTGAACGTTCACAATCATCACGTTGGCCTGCGCAATACTACTGAATCAGTATTTCATAATCCTAATTCACACTTTCTGGGTGGCAAGTTTAATCGAAGTGGTTGAAAATAATAAGTATTTTGTCATTCCCAAAAGATCGCACATATGTCATGCAAAAAAAAAACGCTTACACTTCCAACTGAGTAAATGAACAACATATTTTTTTTCTTCAAAAGTTCATGTCTTCATTCGGTTTTCTGGCTTTTTCAAATAAGAAAAGCGGGAGTTGTTTCAGATGGATATCATCCGACTCGAGGGGCGCCGGCGGTGGATGCCCTTAAGCGTAAATTAATTATGTCCATTTGTGTACATAATTAGTGGCTTTTTATGCCTTATCTTTCATTCGTGTTAGATTACGTTCCAATTTGTATGATACACTTTGATATTTGTTTTTTTTATGTCACCTTAAAGCTAAAGAACACGAAGTTAAATCCATGTCTACTGAAACAACGTCTTCAAAGATGCCGTCAAGACCCACACACAAGGTATTTTTTAGATAGTTCTGTATATTGTGAGTTGATGTGAATTCCCTTTCTAAGACGCGTCTATTACAGCTCATACAAAACAGCGGCAAATATGCGTCCATCAAATGAGCTGTATGGCCACTGCCTTTTGAGGAGGTTATATATAAGAGTGAGAAACACTTCCACTTCTTGGGGGAATAATTGATGCCACGAGATAACTACTGAATGTTTGTCGACCATGAATAATTGTAAATGGTAACACGTTAGTGTTTATTTTCAAGTCTGACGGAGAAAATGCATCAATATTGTTTTATACAATCAGTCAGAGATTCAAAGAGTAAGTGATGGAAACAAAGTAGGCTATTTACAAAGTGTTCCCGAGTCTGTTGGTAATTGAATTGGGCATTGATACAATCGTCGTCGTGGTAGCCGGTTGGTGTCGACCGGGGCGTCCTAATCTCCTTTCATAAGCTTTCTGATGTGAGTGAAGGCCAATGCGGTTGCGACAAATACGTCCTCTACACACCAGAGTAGGGTCTGCAACTTCATCATGTGGAGTAGCAGCATGGCGTCTTTGGCGAGTATCTATGGCTGCAGCAATACCAGCACTATCTGACTGCTGTGCCAATGCGAATGGTCTGCTTTCATTGGGAGCGGCAAACAGCCTTGTCCTCCCAGGTGGTGACGTCAATGCAGCTTGCTTTAAGAGTTCGTTTCAGGGTGTCCTGGTAGCGGAGGTTGGGTCGTCCTCGAGGTCTCTTAGCCCTTTGCAGCTCTGTGTACTGCTTTCGGAAGTCTTGATTCGTCCATTTTAGTAACATGGCCAATCAATCAGAGCTGTAGCTCCTCGATCATTTTGGTAGCACATGACATGCCGGCCCGCTGCAGAACACTGGTGTTCGAAATCCTGTCCTGCCAGCGAAGCCCAGGATGTAAGTGACGGATGTGTCAGAGTTGTACTGATTCAGCTTTTTGAGGTGACGCTGCTACAGAGTAGACGTCTGTACTGCATTAACCAGATTGTCACGAGCCACAGCACGATACATTTCGTCGAACGACGGATGCTTTGTGTGACCATAGACGGTGGCGCAGGCGAGAAAGGGCCGCACATGCCGCCTTAACTCGGGCGTTGATCTCTGAGTCGATGCTTCCGTCAGCTGCACGCTATGGAATTCGACCATGGCCAGTGGGGTTGTCGTTGAACAGTACGGGAGGTATGGTCTTGATTAGTGGAGAAAGGGTGAAGACTAGATGAATTTTCTTTGCATTTATGGAGAGTCCCAAATCACTGGTCATACGGTTGAAGTTGTGTAATTATGGGCAACAAAAGCTGTGTCATCAGCATATATCAGCTCACGGACAAGGAGAGTGCGGACTTTGGTTTTGGCTTTGAGTTTGGGCCAGGTTGAAGACTTGTCCATCCTGGTGCGGATGTAGACACCTTCTGCAAGATGTTGGTCGGTAAGCTCAAGAACTGCCGACAGGAAAACTGCGAAGAGTGTGGGTGCCAAAGGACAACCCTGTTTCACACCATGTGCGACCGGAAATGCATTTGAAAGCTTGCTACTTCAATAAGCGGACCTGGGAAAACATGCCATTATGGAAACTGACGCAGAAGAGAGATAACTTGGGTTGAATCCACTATCTGGACATGAGGCACCATAGACTTTGAAACAGTGTCCAAATGCTTTTGCGAAATCAACAAACAGCGTAAGGAGGGGTTGATGTTGCTCCATAGCTTTCTCCTGGAGTTGACGCAAGGTGAATATCATATCAATGGTGCTGCGTGCGGGCCTGAAACCACATTGAGATTCAGGCATTGACATTGGGTCTCAGCAATTGGCTTTAGACGATGTTGTAGAAGCTTGTCAAAGGCTTTGCCAGGGATGGACAGGAGAATGCGCGGTAGTTTCCAAATTCGCAGCGGTCGACCTAACGCTTGAAGATCGTGACAATGGTCGGATCATGGAACTGTTGTGTGAGCCGGTTGGACACCAAACAGTGGTTGAAAAAACTCACGAAGGGCATGGAGTAGTAACCTCTCGCTGCAAGCTCGTATCACTCCCATTATGATGCCGTCAGCATCCGCAGCTTTGCCACCACTTTATCACGTGCAATTTTCATAATCAATAGTAAATTGAAGAGCAAAACTAAACTGACGTTATTATTTAGTTGCAAGGTATTAATTATTGCTATGAACAATCATGTGAAATCGTGACTGTGACCTATCACATTTTGATCTTTTACGGAATTTACCAATTTGCATTTGTCATAAATTTGTTTTAGATCAGTGAAGATACCGAGGATCAGAGGTTGCAAGAGCCGAGCCATCTCCAACAGGTGTTAGATGAAGTCAACAAGCTGGCAGAGAATCTAACTGCAAGTGAGAGGTTGGATAGCAGACTCCAGTTACCTTACATCGCCATGGGTTACTTCAACGAGAAGGGTGGAAGCTTGTCCCTGGATGAGTATGGAGTGCACCTCACCATCCCGCGTGGTGCAATAGCTCCAGGCTCTCCTCAGCAAGTCTACATCTATGTAGACCCTACTGTGGTTGGGCCAAAAGAGGTCGCGTTTTCACCGAATGTAGATTGTGGCCCCGAAGGGTTGAGATTTGAAGAGAGCGTGGTGTTGTCCTTCCCTCACCACGCTGACGTAAGAAGTACGAGTTCTGACCCGTTAAAGCCCCAAATGTGTCAAGACAATTATTTGTCAGACACATGGGAAGAGTTTGATGGAAACGCAGTGATAACCGAAGACAGGGTGATTCTCCTTGTAAATCATTTTACAAGGTTCAATCTACCCGGACGCAGGAAACGGCTAGTCGTAGTTCCCTATGGAGATGTCTTCGACCCCCGCCAAGGAAAATATCAAATACGGGTGTACATTCTGAACGACGACAAAAAGGCTAAAAAGGTGGGTTACAGAGCATTCTTTCACCAGTATAGCGTACTATATTCTGATATTATTAGTTTCATATTAATGCTAATATAAAACTTCTTACACAATAATAAGACAAGTAAAACTGAATATAACATTTAAATGTTATTGTGTTCAAGTTGATTGATGAAGTGTGATACCTGAATAAAAAAACTCAAACGGTGTTTACATTTCAACACAGAATGTGGAGAAAGACGAGACGCATTCGAAAAGACTAGACGGTTTCAAGACCCTTTCCTGGGGTGAGGGCGACTTGGCCGTTAAGCTTTCAGAGTTTCCAAGAGGATGTAAGGTGTATGAAGAAGAAACACAGGTTTGTTTTATTAGGTGTGCGTTTATTTTCCAATCCTTAACTTTTATTTCATGAGATTATCTCACTGTTGGTTAAAATTGAAACGTAGTACATGTACATGTCTTGAGTTTTGTTTCTACTCGACCAACAGACCATCCACGAAAAACAAATAAAGGAACAGGCAAGGAACTGCGTGACCTTCACCCTTGGATTACCAAGCTGGTCTGCTGATGACGTTCTGTACTGTGCTGTGGAAACCTACCAGGATAACGGAGATGAATACGAAAGAGAACAAGGCAAAGTTCGACTGTCAATTTGTCCAGACGTGAGCTAATCATTTCTTTTTTTTCTATATCCTTCCAAATATCGACAAACTGTTAGAATGATTCCATACAGAATTAACTATACTAGGTCAATTTATTGTATACGTCGCTATATTGTGTCAAGAGAGCCAAGTTGCTTACATATTCTGGGTCATATTCTGATGTCCCTTCGTATTCTGACGACGGGCAGTATAAACAGGTTCTACCCGGAACCTATCAAACCCACAAAAGAGAGGTTCTGCCAAATCCCAACGCAACACTGAAATGTGCATTCTGATTTTCATCGGTCGACATGTTTGCTAGATTAAATTGGATGTCATTCTCTGAAAAAAATTGAGTTTAAAAAGGCCATTTTTGTTTACAAATATAAACACGACATTACTCCTTTGTATGCGACAAATCTGTTTACACCACTTTTCAGATTCGTGAAACGAGACAATCCACTGATATGGCACTGATGATTCCTTTTGCCAACAAATAATGTTATGCCTCAAGCTTTGCTGTAACTGGTACAATCATATCGAATAATTTGCATGTACAGTTGAGAACCAAGACTTCTCTAACCTCATTCAAATGTCTTCACTGATTATACAAATCTAAACCTGTGCTGACTTACGGAGTTAACAAACCTGTTGCCATAATAATAAGGAGCCGGATGGGAATTTTCCCAATTTTTGTCCCAAAGGGTTTTCGCGGTTTTTGTTTGCCCCTCCCGTAATCAGGAAATGTGTGAAAATATATTTTCCCGGTATCACGACAAATGTCTAAATCGAATATTTCACATATTTCACAGGCCTTTAGGAAAGTGTGTTAGCGATGTCGTTTCAAGCTGTACAATTTTCTTTGTAATAGTCGTACAATATTATAGTAGTTGCTTTACAATCATGCAGTAAGCCCGTATGTTTTAATCTATTTAATTGAGCTGCATTGTATTTGTAATGTACTGTATTTTTACATGTGTGTAGTCATTTGTAGTTAATGACGGGCCCCAATGGAAACCAATTTTATACTGTATGGACATACCCTGGGTAAAGAAACTTAATAAATAAATAAACTTTCATTACTGCACAATGTAGACTGAAAACCTATGCGGCCATTATTGAGCGATAACATTTGCACGTGTTTTTGTTGTTGTTGTTGTTGGTTTATTTTTTTTTGCAGATGAAAACGCCCGACAGAGACGCTGTACAGATGCCAGTCTGTGATCAAGCCGCTGCGTGCAGTCAAACGGTCAGAATTCGCAGGTTCTGTTTACGAGGGAAACATTAAAAATAGTCGTGGTTATGGAGATAAAAAACATAGAGTACAAACATCATCCAGCATATTACCTCTAGAAACAAAACGAACTTTATCAAGTCAATTTCAAAGCTTCCTGTTCCAGTTACTATTGCTCAAAACCACAGAAGACCTCGGTTAGAATATCACAAAAATAGCATTATGATGGCAATAACTACATCGTAAACTTCAAATTCAGCAAATTATTTTCCCCTAGGTTTCCCCTCAGTCTGCTGGGGCTACAAGTGGCGGAAGCCGCATGACTATCCAGGTAAGAAAAAATAATATAATGTACTCGAACACGTTTTAAATTCAGAGACGTCACTGCAACATTTTTGAATCAAGAAGTATTATTTAAGATTTTGTATTAATACACTGAAGGAAAACTGGCGTTACTTGTAAGATTTTCCTTAAAAACCTACATTGATTGAGTTTACATGTTTGAAGTATTTTCGACACCTAGATCGTGAGCAACATAGTGGCAATCAATGACGAGAATTTATTTGTTTTCGTAATTTAGGACGAAGTCGGGGGTGGTTTTTCCAAACGGGAACCAAACCATAGTGCAATGGCTGAGTCTTGTGATTCAGTGGGACAGACTTGTTCGGATACCCACTGGCAAGTCGAGAAGCTTCTTGAAGCAAGAAATGACAACGGCGACAACTCCACACAACGTGGTACTGTAAACGGTGACACATTCGTGTTCATCTTCAGGTCTGATGTGGAAACTACATCCACTTTGTGTCAAAAAATCATTCAGGAGATTTGCAGAGTAAGTGATGCAAACAATGTAGGCTAAAACAAGTGAACACAAGTTTGTCAGTAATAAACCAATGGGCATTGATAAAACATGGTCCTTGATTTTACTAAAACAGTGCTCCGGCATTGTAGCTGTATACTTTAAATTGACGTTGGTTCCTTTTAACTCCACCATTTTACAGGGGCACTTAGAAATAATTAAGAAATCAAAGTACCGTAATAGAGGTCTATATGTGTCTTGAATTAATGATATGTTAAAATAATTTAATTCAGTATCTTAATTTCCCCCTCTTTTAGGTTAAAACAGAAGAAGAGAAACTGTCTCGCAGGAAAGGTACTAAATGGTAGTTTGCACAAGAGACTCACAATGTACTGACATATGCAAACGTCGTACCACTTATAATTAGCTTTCTCATCAAAGACAACTATATCTATGTTTGAACTTTTGGTGGCAATAAATGTTCAATTGATTTTTCGCTTAGCCAGGTATCACATCTAACATCAGCCATACTAAATCTAAATTGAAACAAAAGAATCCCATCTAAATTGACACCAAAAATACGTTTACTTATTTAGGGAAAACAACTTTGAGAACGTAACACGTGTTAACAAGCTGAAGTTTAAGTGAAGCGCACTTAATATGAATGTCAAGGAAGCTCTGAAACCGATCAATGCGCTGTTCGTGTGAACGTAATATTTGTAAGATAGCAAGCTAATACAATGTACACGATTTGGAGGAGGGGGGGTTTGGAAGGGGCACCTTGCCCCCCCCCCGGCATATTGTTTTTTTTTCAGCAATTATTTCACCCCCCCCCCGACATCAAAAGCTTGATACGCTACTGGATTTGGCTACTGTGTGAAAGGTGTACCCAAGCACACATTTCAAATTCTTATTGTTCCATTGAATACCAGACACAATTAAAAGTTAAACTTTATCAACGAGTTTTACACTCTCGCCGACAGAATTTGTCGAGCTGATAACTATTTTGAGGAAACTTAGAAAAAAATTATTACAATGATCCTACTTTACAATTTTATTGTCTAATTTTTCTAGTTGTTGATGATACAACTCTTCTCTATTTGGCATGCGAGCTCGGATCTGAATGGGAGCGTCTCGCAACCTTCCTTGGTTTTGGTGTCAATGATGTCTACAAATTCAAGAACGACAACCCTCATGATACCAACAACCAAATTTTCCAAATGTTGGTTAAGTGGCGAGACGAGCAGTACCTTACAGAGCTAGTTGACTGTCTTGGTCGCGAACTGACAAAGGTTAATAAAGGTGAAATGGCAAAAACACTGCGAGGTAAATAATGGTTTGTACAATGTTTTTTTAAATTGGTATATTTATGAATTGATCGATCAAATTGACCATTAGAAGTTACTCCAACTTATCTAAAACGTATCCTCCCTAATTTGAAAGCTGTAGAGAAAACTATTGGGAATTTCAAGATGGATTTGTTCACGTTACATGAGCAAACCTCGAAAGAGTATGGGTTTTTATGGAGACATTGCTTCACTGGCTGAACATAAAGAAAAAAAGACGATTGTTCGATTTTTTTCATCATATGCTGTTTTTCAGACATTGATGATTCTTCACTTCATGAGGTGTCGAACCAACTCGGTTCAGATTGGGAGACCTTCGCAACAGCACTGGGTTGCGATACTCACAAAGTAAAGAACGAGTTCCCGTATGATACAAGAGAACATTGCTTTCAAATGCTGGTTGAATGGCGTGCGAAGCAGTTATCCCCAAATTTCCAGGTCGACAAGCTCTGCAAAGAGTTGAAGAGGGTCGACAGAGAAGAACTTGCTGATACATTGCGAGGTACACAAAATTCTTTCTAAATAACACTTTAATAATTGACAAAGAACACCTTTTAAAGTAAAGTACATGTAGGTACTTTTGTCAAATGACCCAATCTAGTTCTAAACTTGTATCCTAGACTGTCATTCTACGTGTAAACCTATTTAAAACCAGATGGTTCGTGGTAGATCTTTTCGCCTAGCCTAATTGTATGGACACGATGAGCAGACATTTAGCTCAGGAAATATCTGAGCGAAGCACAGCATAAGTACAAATTAAAGAACCCTTTTTGGTTGGTGCTTGTTACAGAGAGTTCCCCCTGAAAACTCGCCGAGTACCAGTAATAGTAAGATTTTCTCTCATAACACAATTGTATGAAGATAACCTGAAACTGCCGCTCAATATATGTACGTGCTAAGCACAAAATAAGCCCAGTACCAGTTTAAGGTAGCGTGCTGAAAATGACATTCTGAGTGGCAAGTTCTTTTTTGTGTTGCTTATCCGAAAGTTTCTCAGTGATTCCTTTACTTAACAGCAATTGCCTGGTAACTGCATTCTCTTGTTATTGATTCTCAGAGCTGATCAGTGATCGAGATTCCGAGAAACCTGGACTCCTGGAGAAGCCTCAAGTCATGGAGCAAGCCAGTGGCGACCATGCTAGCGCCATTGGGAATAGTCAACCAAGTGTGGAAAGCAACTACAGTCAAGAAGGTAGACCTAACTCTTGACACACAGTTTTATAATATGCCAAAGAGATTCAGTTGACCTTATCAGGAGCGGGGACACTATGCGCCACTCCGATACTTGAGTAATGCTTTACATGTGTATTGTTTGGACCATGCTGTTGACCATTGTGCTCCCAAGTGGGCCACAATGTGCCACCTCCGATCTCAGTTAATATTTGAGTAATGATTTCCACTAATGATTTACCTTTTAAAGTAATCCAGCTACATGTGTAATATGTTGTACGACTGATTTAAAACATTTCTTAGATTCATTCTTGGTTTTAATGCTATACCCATATAGACACAGATGCACTGCAAAAACGGCAGTGTTAAATTTACACCATTGGTATCTATATAGGACCATCTGGTGTTAAATTTTACTAAGTTTTTAGTTTTTGCAGTGTGGTTCGAGGTACATTTAATCACATGTCCCACTTTTATGAGGAAGATAAGCAGAAACTATTGCTCAGTATTATGTGGTCAGCATAAGTCGAGTAGCAGTTAAAGGTACTATGCACTAAACAACGTGTTGGCTTGTAACTTTTTTCTTAGGTATTTCCTCACCGAATGTTTTTGGTTAACAGTGGCCTGGTAACAGTATTTTCTTGTGATTAATTCTCAGAGCTGGTCAGTGACAGAAATCATGAAAAAGCTCAACTGCTCAAGAAACCTCAAGTCAAGAAGAAAGCCGATGGCGACCATGCTAGCGGCATTGGTAGTGAACCACCAAGTACGAAAACCAAGAACAGTCAAAAAGGTTGGCATAATTATCGACACAAAATGTCAACTACAATATACTGGATCAATAGCTCTACACTATAGTTGACCATATCAGGAGTGGTGGGACAATGTGCCAATTCCGATATCAAGTAATACTTGAGTAATGATTTACAAAGAACTCCTTTTCAAAGTAATCCAGCTCCATGTGTAATTTGTTGTCCAAATGATTTAAAACAAAACCTCTGATTTTATTCTTGGCTTAAACCCAAACCAATTTAGACACGTATAGTTTGGGGTAGAAGCTACTGCTCAGTAAATATATGTGCTAAGAATACCAGGTAAAGATACCATGTAAAGATACCATGCAGTATGTGGCTTTTTCGCTAGTAACTTGTTTTTGCTTAGCAGGTATTTTTCAGCGAATCATTTCGCTAAACAGTGTGCCCGGAAAGTACATTTTGAAAAAAATTAATCTCAGAACCAATCAGTGACAAAGACCCCGAGAAACGTCAACTCCTCGAGAAGCTTCAAACGATGGAGCTTGAGGAGACAGGTGGCAACCATGCTAGGGCCACTGGTTGCGATCAACCATGTCTGAAAGCCAAATGCAGTCTAAACGGTAGGCCTTATTTGCACACAATACTAACTACAATGCTGAACTAATAGGTCTACAGTTGACCTTAGTAATGCAGAATGAAAAAAAAGCCCACAATTTGTGTTTAATCGCGGAAAAGAACCATTGTTGCAAAGGCAACCAATTGTATAACCATTCAGGCCATTAAGGTTAACATTTTGCGGTTTCATATTTTGCGGTTTGATGATTTACGCCATTTTAGAAGTTGAATGGGCTTTATGTGACAATCTAAGATCATTCCATTATTTACTTAAACAAACTTTGGTCAAGCGTTCAACTGAAACGCATACTGGGAATCTAATTTAAAGGCAATATACATTACATGACAGTGTTTCCTCTTAGCACAATCTTCTTTTGAGATTTTTTTTCTGCACTTCTGGCAAGTTGGCTTTCTCATGGTATGAGACATGTATAAGGGTTTTTTTCGTAACATTTCTTCGCTTATTTGCATTTTCATGTTGTGAATTTCCAGAACTGATCAGAGAACGAGACTCCAAGAAACCACAAATCCTCGAGAACAGTTTAAAAGGTAGGCCTTACTTTTAACTGACAAATACCAACTAGAACGCTGGACCGAGTTTCTCTTAAAACTGCGGCCGATTATTTAATTTCGGTGTAAAATTAACTGGCGGTGAATTGAAAACAACGTTTTGGTCTACATGGTTGCCATGCCAACCGACTTTGAAACCATTTATACGAGAACACTGGGATCCAATGTGAACGTCGTTGACATGAGAATCGTTTTCAATGTCTGTGTTTCTGCACGATTATCTTTTGCGGATTCTTTTCGGCGCTACTATTTCAATTTTACCATCCAGATCAGAAAATTTAGGTAAAGGGAAGGGAGTAGAAATTGTCAAACTGATGTAACATTTAAATTTGAAACGTTTGAACATTTGAAACGTTTTCACATTTGTTGTAGCTCTACATATCCTCGAAAACACCCGTGAGGGAAAGGCTGAGCCACACAGTCAACAACAACTACGTGTGGTTAACAAGCGTGAATGACTCCGTTACTAACTGTGCAACTGAATTGTCAGTAAGGACAACCATGCTTTATACTATGTATAAATCATAGAGCTATACTATTTTAATATAGCTCTATGGTATAAATACATCAAAGTTCTAAGTAGAGTGCTATATATGTATTCCTAATTAAATAAAAAGGGCCTGAATGCTTCATTCTAAAGGGAAATAAATATTCGACGTATATTTATGTACTCAGCAGCATTCGCGAACTCGATTCATTCAACCACAAGAATATTTTTGTAACAGGTTGTTGACTACATTAAATTATGTGGGCTTTTCAGAAAATTTAATTTTAGAATGTTTTAAAAGTTCGTCTTAGAGCAAATTAAAAAAGAATGCACTAAAAGCTGTACTTAAATGCGTAACACTACGTTGAAATTTAGACGTATAATATTGTAGACATTGTAAACATTTCGCTAGAAGTTTCCTGTGTGAAGCAACTCTGTCGCCATAAAATCCTGGTAAAGGGTGTATATGATTTGTATGAAAAACTGAAATAGTGAGTTTGCGTAACGTTGAGAGAACACGCTTTACCCGACGAGCAATTCCATATCAGGTAAAGGAGAGGCCATACCTCTGAAACTAACTTTATTATTTTTTCTTTAAACGAGCAAGTTGTAAACAATCATGATATAGGCTCGTAAGGTTTATATTGAGTATGCACTGTAAAACAAACATATAATAAGTATTACTACAACCAGGACGTAATTTTAAATATCTCATACAATCCTTTCCTCTTTTACGTGACCGCTGTGTAGAAATAATTCAAAAACGGTGTCAACCTCATTGAGGTTTCTACACAAGCCTGTGATTGATATTACTGAGAGTAGTTTCTCATTATCCTTGATTCCAAATTTTACCTTAATATCTTTCAAATGTATATAATAAATAACAATGCTACAGTCAATGGCGGCTTGCCGAGATAATTACGAGCACTGTTTTTAGACTGTTGCTGCAAACTTCTTGTAAATAGACTAGCATAAATAGTAACGCTTATTTTATTTTATTATTGATGTTCATTATTTGTTTTTTTTAATTCCCTCTGGGACCATTTTATTAAAGACCAAAGTCGCTTATGATTAGTGGTATGAAATGGTTTGTAGAATCAAGATACTCTAGCTAATGAATTGTCTTCAGAATATTTACTTTATCTTTGTTGTTATTGTGTGTAGCCTAGGTATTCCATACTTTCCGACGTTTTGTTCATGGTTTGGACTGTCAACTTTGTGCTGTAAATGTTTTGCTAAGAGTGAGTAGTTTTACCCGCGGAAGAATTCATTTTATGTCTCATTTTCAATCAAATGGCTTTTACCCAATTTTTCATATTGGAAGAATTATCTTGCAGTCAGCTTTAACTAGCACTAATTTTTAGAGTTTGGGTCTTCTTAGTATTTTTTTGAGCTACGTGTTGGTATACAGTATCATATTCCCTTACCATACTCCTCTGTAGAATCATAATCATTCAGTTATATTGGAATTATTAACTTGAATCAAATACTCCAACTTTTGTGGCGAAATAATTCAACGGGTGATGTCTCATTAACAGTGAATAATTTTTATAACTCACGTTGCTAAGAATATGAAAACAAAATATATTTTCGAGGTGAAATATTCGAAATATTAAGTAATGAAGGTAACAAAAGCAATCAAGCTAAATTTCCCGGAAAGGTAATGCGCATTAATCAACACAATTTTGGCGTAGAAAAATGTAATCATAAGGGAGTCATTCGTATTTAGGTTTTTCACACCAGCCAGTAACCAGAATAACTGTCATTGTTTAATTTCATTAACTTTGATTCTAAGTTTTACAATGAAAAAAGATCAAGCAGTATGTGTAGAAAAAAGCAATGCTGAATTGTATTACTACATAGGCAGATTCATGATCACTGTACTTAAACTTTTCCACTATAAGGGAAACAAAAAAATTAAGTCGGTCTCTGGTCAGCGCGCTCGTCGATTTTCATTATGCGCGTCATTTTTTTTCGAAAATGTTCCGCGGTAGCTCCAACAGCGCCCACTATTGCTGTCCTCCTCAATTTTTTTTTCTACCAAAGAGCACCAAGGAATGGAAAATTGCACCAAGGCAAATGATCGAGAGCACCAAGGCAAATTATGGAGGACACCAATGTACATGAGGACACCAAAGAGCAAAATAGTACCCCACCTTGTCTGTACAATCCAAGCTTGAAGAAAAAAAGAAGAAAGCCGCGTCACTTCCGCAACTTTGGTCTGACCAGAGACCGAATATTTTTTTGGCCTAAACTGCTTATCAATGAAATAGGAAGTAGTTGATACTTTGTTTTAATTTTATTGTTTCTTGGTGTTAAATTGTTCATTCTAAAGAACCGTTTTAACAGTTTAATCTGTAAACAAACCTGCTATTGTCAGTGGCATAAAATTACCGTGATCGATATAACGCATATCAAATTACCTTAGCTTTTTAATCATATTGCAAATTCATATTTACTTTCAAGTATTGCTGCTTTCTGTTTATCGTTAAAAAAAGTAGATCAGGCTGTCCATATATTTTGCCTTTCTTTATGATTGAATTCTCAACTATTTTCCTAATGCGATTTTACTGCTTTTGAAGTATTAACATCAGAATGTCTTCGTGTTCAAGCCCACAATATTATTATTCCCACAAAAAAATAGAGCCAGGTGAAGATTACTAGTCAGAAATTAACCATAGCGAAACAGTGAAGATATAGTTCATGCAATTCCAATGAGTATAAATGAAGCGTAATTTACGGAGAAAACTTAAATTCGTTCCTTCCGACCTACAAGTCAATAGAATGGAAGTTGCCATTGCAGACGATAGCAAAGTATGACACGAAAATTGTGGACATAACTTGGGCATTCCACGAACAGAAGACCCGGGGTGCACATTGTTTGCATTGTGTTCGCCATACATTTCTGTTACACCGACCGACGTACGAAAAAGTGTGGCTACACTTCTAAGAACAAAACAGATACTACATGTGCAATGGCTTGTATTAAAATTCTACGAAGCTGCTGCATGCATTACATCACTAAAACAAACCAATACAAAGAGGGGAAAACCCTACCTCGACACTCAACATATGTATGTCAAAGGAACAGTGAGAAGCATTTATGAAATTTCTTTAACTGTCCCAAATGTCGTTATATCATTTCGAAAATCGAATTTATCATAAATTTGATTTTACCTTCAGTTGGCTTGTCCACTTAAAAAAACCCAAACATTAATAGTAAATAATATAATTAATGTTCCTTTTATTGTCTTTTGATTGAAACCTTACATTATTAAGTCAGTTCTGACACTTCAATGGTTCTGCAAACTGTTGTATCACATAATGACAACTTCTTGAAAATAAAATCTATGCAGAAATTAATTGAATGCGGATTGTTTTAGAGATATCTATGTACGGAATTGACGTGTGAAGGATTGTTCGGTTCTTAAATCTATTTCAGATTATAAAATGGAATTATTCACATTTATTCTTGTCTTGTCTCGGGAAAACAGCTGTTCAAAGACACTGACAGAGTGAACAAAATATTCCACCACCAAACCATTCTTTACATAAACAAGGGTGAACCTAGTAATCAGGAAACGGGGGAAGGGGGTCGACATGAAGGTGGGGTATGAAAGAAGGCGTGCAGGAGGGGGGGGGGGCTGGAGAGAAAAAGTATACAATCTACTAACTTTCTTTCTCCTTCGAACTCACCAATTACATGTAGTACGCCTAACACTGTAGTAGTCCAGCGGCACTGCTGTAGCAGTCCAGCGGTTACCGCTTCGCTAGTCCCGTCGAACAAGCACCCGTACTCACAGAGCAAAAGACGAACATATTTTCCAAAATAACATTCCTTGCATGTGTCTCTTGATTCCTAGAATGTCCTACGATATGCAGAACTCACGCTTTCCCAAGTCATTTCTTGTTTATATCCATTGTACACTTCTAACTTGTTGATGCACGCGTCGCTAAAAATGGCGCTTATCACATCGCAACACGTGTGTGTATGTCTGTATCCCAAACGACAATGGAAAGTTGTGTGAACTTTTGACAGCTGGCTTGCACGCGCTTGATTAGCATAAAAATTAACAGGTAAGTATAGTAGGCCAAACGGACAAAATAGTCCTTTTCGTGAAGCTGTGAATCAATAAAGTGTGGAAAATCAGTTGAATGAGATTTTAATCCTAGCGGCACTTATGTTGCTGAAGGATTTTCAGCTTGAATTATTTCCCATCCCAATTTTGAGTGTGGATCCGCGTTTCAGATTGTGTATACTTAATAATGGTTAAGGATATTTTGTGGTGGGGGAGGGCAAGGCTCTTGACAGAAGTCATTTTCGCGAAGAATACTTGAACACCAGGCGAGTTAATTTCAATATTTGATTTCCAATGAAGTTTAATAAATTATTTGAAGCACTATGGGCAGATACTCCAGGTTAATAATGGTCACGGTGTTGAAAGCTTGTTCGCTCAAAAGCAGGATAATTTCAAATGTATTCTTTTTCCCACTAAAAAGTGCATTCTCTCTCTTAAACTGCTTTTAATCAAGTCGCACTAATCCTAATCGATCAGACATAGATTTGTTACATTTTTTAAAGGGACATGCTAAGACATCTGATTTATACATTTAAAAACCATACTTCAAAGAAAAAAATGCTTAGCTTCAAAATGTGACTAAATCAGGCCTGAGGTTGCTGTACGGAGAATTTAAAATTGATGTTTTTAGTAATGCTTTTTTGTATATTTAGAATCTATCATTCGAAAACTACTGGCCATCACATTTGCCAAAATAAAGATGCGAGCTGCATTATTGACAATGGCATCCTACTGCCGTTACTTCATCAAACCTTAAGATAGATGCGTTCGTGATATTTGTACATTTTCAGAAATTATTTTCACGTTATTTTGCATATGTAGGCCTAACATGTTTAAATTAAAAATGTATTCATTATGCAACATTTTACTGATGAAGTTGTCAAGCCGGAGGAAACGTGTACGTAAAATGTGATTACACCTATCGATCATTCAGGAATGCATTTATGTTTAAAGTCGTGCTTCGACCGAAACAGTTTGAATTTTAAACAAATTTCAATTAGTGTTTTGACTAAATTATTAATTTTTTAAATAATTTTTTGTCCTGTTTTTACTAATCATCAGTTTCGGTTGGGCGATTTTTTAGGCTTGCTTTGACGAATTGTCAATTGTTTTGGACTAATTTTCAGTTCTGCTTTACATTTTTATAATTGGTATTGCCTATAATGTTCATTCTGGTGTGACTCCGTCATTTACATGACTGTTTTCACTAATTTTCAATCATGTGTTGACCAATTTTTACACCGAAAACTAACAACTGTAATGTGCAATTAAACTGATCAATCCCTACAGAATGCACTTGTTCAAATTTGTAAAGTACTCAAGTAGGAAAAAGGGGTCCTCATGAAGCCCGATGACATATTTGTAAATCTTTAAAAATTATATATTTTGACCATTCCTTAAGGTACCTAGTGAAGAAGTATATGATCCCATTTTGATCCTATGGGATTATTATCCTATGGGATCATGTGGCCGCCATCTTGGCAGCTATCTAGGATTTGCATTTAAATCGATAGTCACATTTGAACCATACCTTTCAGTCCTGCAGTGATGTAACTAAGTTTCAGTCCTGTTTTGACTTTTCTTCGGCTATTATAGACTATTTTTCAGACCTATCCTGCATTGACGACGAATTTTAAGGTCTGCTTTGGCTAATATTCAGTCCTGTTTTGTATAATTTTCAGCCCTGTTTTGACTAATTTTCAATCGTGTTTTGGCTACTTTGAAGTCCAGTTTTGACTAATTTTCTGTCCTATCCTGTGTTGACTATTTTAAGACATGCTTTGAGTAATATTCAGTCCTGTTTTGTCTTTGCTTATTTTTAGTCGTGTTCAGTTATTTGACTAATTTCTTGGCAAGAGTCTTACACAAGCATACATGGAGCTATACAACACGTTTAATAGCTTTTATGGTAGCTTTTATGGAGAGCATTTATGGTAGCTGGTCCTAAAAGCTTTGGAACCAGTTACCTGGTCAAATTAGATGCCAAGAAACACTGGGGACTTTTACACTCGAGGTGAAAATCTTTTTATTTCAGAAAGCTTTTAATGTGTAATTGTGCATGTGGTGATTTTTAATGGTTCATTCGAAATTTTAATGTTTAGCTTGTAAATTTTGATTGTATATTGGTTTTACTCACAAATGGTATAATATCGTAGTTTTGGTTTAAGTAGTACAGTTTTATCCTTCAATTAATTTTTATTTAAATACGCATTAGAACATATGTTAACGTATTTTGCGCAATATAAATGTCATTATTATTATTATTATTATTATTATTATTATTATTATTATTATAGCTCCATGAGGCAATCAATCCAATACCAGAGTGAGAGAGCAGGCAGTGGAGCGTACTGCTCGATGCCATGGAAACCAGGTTGGCTTGCATCATGATCATTTATTATGCCTGTCCGTTGAAGAACCTTATCGCTAATGTCGCGTTGACGCTATTTTGTGCTGTCACGCATCCTTTTTCCCCGATCTGTTTTGAAACATGGACCTTTCTGCTTCTCAGTAGCGCCATTTCGTGTGGGTGTGTGGATAAATTGCTGAATTTAACGTTGTGTGAGGATATTGGCAGGGATATTTAACGTTTTTCTTTTTTCCTACAGAAGTGAATTCTCTTTCTTAAATTAATTGGGTACCTAGTAGGATCACTGTGTGTTGCTAAATTAAGTCAGCAAAGGGCGTCAATCGCTTCTGCAAAGTGGGGGAGGGCAAACCATTGAGCTATAATCCATATTTCAGAACCTATATTGGGATGACTGTGTGTTGCCAAGGGTAAAATTTCAGCCAAGGGCGTCAATCGCTTCTCCAAAGTGGGGGGGGGGGGACCATATCTTGATCAGAAGTAATACGAGCGCGAAGCCGTGGGGTTCAGGGCCCGCTGACGGGCCCCTCAAAATTTCGGATTTTAGATGCTCTGTGGTGCGATGCGA